GTGTTGGCTTACTGAGATTGCCATCCTTAAAGTTCTTGGCAAATATCTCTTCTAGTTACCGTAGCAACAAAATGAATTTGTATGCCCTATCCAAGGTGTAACAAGTTCTGCTGTCATTTTGTTATGTAGAGCTGGGAGAAGACAATGGACTGCCATAGTCCAGGACAGGGCTTAATGCCTGCTAGCTTCAAGGTGCGAACAATTCCACTCGATGGAGATGAAGATGCAACTGAGGAGGTCTTGGATCCTGATTTTGGGGAGGCAGCAATAGGCCGTGTGGCACCTGTTGATTCAGGTAGAGCTACTAATGGAGATAGCTAGCACATCCTCTTTTTTGCTACTCTGCTTCTACTAACTCTTAACTGGATATGTGATTGATGGTTTCAGGTCTATGGTGGATCATATTACTTAGGGCGTATGGAAAGTGTTCAGGAGATCTGACAGTTCAGGAGAGAATTGATGTTCAGACTGGAATTAAAATGATATTAAAGCTTTGTTTAGCTGATGGGTTTGACATGTTCCCTACATTACTGGTAACTGATGGATCATGCATGATTGATCGTCGAATGGGAATTCATGGGCATCCACTTGAAATTCAGGTTTTTTACGATACTCCTGTCAATTCTGTGTCTTTTGTGAATGGATTTTATCCCATTCAATCAAAAGCATGTGTACCCTCAAAAGTTAAACCTATCTTTTCCAATCCCCTGAGTTTTTTCAGCGATCTCCATATGAAAGTGGCTCGCTAAGATAACTGAAAGCTGACTTGACTCAAAACGCACAAAATGGTCATTTTCATAGCCACTTAACAGTCAACTCACAAAATGGGCATGGAAATGATAGAAGTTTAAAGTCAGGAGCATGTAGAGCAAGGAACTTAATTTTAAAACTGAAGCAAGATTCATCAATTAGAAAAATCTTGTAACATCATAATATCTAACTTTTAACACACAGAAGATTTATATAGTTTTTTTTTCATTTAATTTTCCAATTCCAGTATTTCCATTTCAATGATTTGCAAAAACTATATGGAAACATGTAATTTTCTTGTTCAGTTCCTGCTGTATCATGTGTCACCCACATGGCAGTGAGGTATGAGTACTAATTAATCTGGGTTACTGTTGGCATATCAGAAATTTCAGCTAAGGTAGTTATTTGGATGATTAACAAATATAAACTTTTGAAATTGGACACTTCCTACAAGTTTCTCACGATCAAAATTAAAAACAATTGCAATTAGCCATAGTAAATTTCTGTTGCAATAGAGTATATTTTCTATTTAAGTTTCGTAATAAGATATAAGGACCAAAGTCAATCTTGAAAAAGTTTGAATGCAACAAGATGATAGGAATAACTGTGATGTCGTCCTCAACAATGTTAGTTCATAGGTGTGCACATTGAATAATCAGCATCAATGATGAAGAGGATGGCCTGCTTCTCCTGCTGATGCTCCTAATAACTTTCCTCTGCCTTATCCTAGTTTAAGTGAACTGAATACATTCATCACCTTAATCCAAGGCCTCACTTACATTTTATATTCAGACGTAACTTTACAAGGTAAGGGCTATAATAATATTTTTCAAAAAAAGGGGCTGACATTGAGTATTCCTGTATTTTTCATTACAGCTTCTCTTTTGTGATAAAGCAAACTCACGTAAATATTGTTTTATGTAGGCACTGTTCTATTCAGCTCTCCTGTGCGCGCGTGAAATGTTAACCCCAGAAGATGGATCAGCTGATTTAATACGTGCTCTAAACAATAGGCTTATCGCACTGTCCTTTCATATTAGAGAGTACTATTGGGTTGACATGCAGAAGCTGAATGAGATTTATCGATATAAAACAGAAGAATATTCCTATGATGCTGTGAACAAGTTCAACATATATCCTGATCAGGTTTCTCCGTGGCTTGTTGAGTGGATACCTCCTAAAGGAGGTTACTTCATTGGGAACCTGCAGCCAGCTCACATGGACTTCCGGTTCTTTTCTCTGGGGAATTTATGGTCCATAGTAAGCAGCTTGGCAACAACTCATCAATCCCATGCCATTTTGGATCTGATTGAATCCAAATGGTCTGATTTAGTGGCAGAGATGCCATTGAAGATATGCTATCCTGCTCTAGAGAACCAGGAATGGAAGATCATTACTGGAAGTGACCCAAAGAATACGTGAGTTTTCGGAATAATTATCTTTGCATCTATGTACATGTTCAAGTTCCAATGAGCATCTTCTTAGTAATATCTATTGATTCAGGCCTTGGTCATATCATAATGGAGGATCCTGGCCAACATTGTTATGGCAGGTTCGTTATTCTGTAACAAAGTTTTTTTTTTTTGTGGTTGAAATTGCTGACTTTGTTTTTACCTGATGCAGACAGTTTGTAGTAACAATTGACAATTCACTATGATTTGTTTGCTCAACATATAGTTGCTGAGAAATTACTTTCTTTGCGTGCAGCTCACAGTAGCATCTATCAAGATGAACAGACCAGAGATTGCTGCAAAAGCTGTAGAGGTAGCTGAGAGGCGAATTGCTATCGACAAATGGCCTGAATACTATGACACCAAACGAGCACGCTTCATTGGGAAACAGTCTCGTCTTTACCAAACCTGGTCTATTGCTGGGTACCTTGTGGCCAAGCAACTGCTGGACAAACCTGATGCTGCTAGAATTCTTTCGAACGACGAGGATTCAGAAATTCTTAATGCTTTGAGCACAAACAGGAAAAGAGGCAAGAAAGTGTTAAAGAAGACATTCATTGTATGAGTTCTTGAAGCAAAAGATCCATCACTTGGTTCTTTAAGTTAGCATTTAAGTTATAGGAAATATCTTCCTGTATATATACACGAAAGGATATGTTTGGACGGAGAGATGCCTGCTGTTGGATGCTGTTATTGTAGATGCATCTGGCTTTTGCAAGAAAGCACTTGCCTGGGCATTTCTCAATTGTATCCCTTTCATCAATTTTTGTACACTAGACTTGCCTCTTGTAGTTTACCATATACTCCATTTGACATGACAAATTCTGTGCCAAGCAGTATGATCCCATACTATTGACTTACAGTTATATGCTTGTTTTGCTGACGGTGATGGATAGTGTTTTAAATTGTCGGAATCACTATAGTTGGGACTGAGATTCCGCCCAAGTTCGATCTGGGTAGCTGAATGGATACTGATGTTATGAATTTCTACACACTGATTCCAAAGCCTATGGGAGTATCTTTGCAGTACCTAATATTGCAATAGGGTTGAGGTTCCAAAATGTTTTAAAAAAAACAACTTACTGTTAAAGTGAGAGTATATTGCCAAGGATCCGGCGCTGGTGAAAATGAGAGACTATACAAGAGAAGATCTCCGAGACTCCGATGCCCCACATTTGAACCTTAACCTAGTTAGTATTCTCACCACTTCTATTTATACGTATTTTCTGGATAAAGCAAAGGCGGGAATAAATTCTATCATTCAAAGGAGTACCTATTTTTGGACAACAGAATGAAATCGTAATACTTGTCTCGTTAACAGTTCAAGCTTTGGAAACCTTTTTCTTTCACATTTTGGCAAGAAAAACAATACACAAGACATTAGTTATACATGGTAATATATGATCAAATAACCAGAGAATTTTCCAGAAATTCCGTTTCTCATCATAGATGAAACACAATAACACAATTCCTTTTATATAAACGCACTATAAACACATATACTTACAACACACACACTCATCTCTACGAACATACATACAAACAACCTATCTCAATGAGCACATGCATCCGAAAGAGTGAGCCGATATATCTTGAGATTAGCGAAGTCACCACAGATGCCTCAATATCGATGGGTATTCTATCCTAGTATAAAGTTATCCTCCACTAACTCCTTAGGCTTAACATGCAAAGATGACACATCATCATCCACTAATAAGATACCACATCATCTCCACTAATTAACAAGATGCCACATCATCATCCACTAACAATCATCACATTTAAACATCATGCAAACATGCTATATCTTTATAGTTTTTATAATTTAAGAGCTTTTCAAATACAAACATGTTAAATTATCACCCAACATAATTCACATAATGTTTCAATGTATATCTTTATTATGTTTTATGATATCCTATATACTCATATAGTTCATCCTCACTTAGTTAGTGCTTAAATGATTAATCTATGGTACAAATTATCTTTCTCCTTTTTTCCTCTAATTAAATCATATCACATCAATTGTTTTTAGTCTTTAGATGATTAATCTACGGTCCAAACTATCTCCCTACTTTTCTTCTTCCATAAAGTCATACCACCTTACTTTTTTACGTTTGAATCACCATTCTACACACTATTTAGATTTAAATTATCATGAACCACATTAATCTACTTAATATGATATTATCTAGCTATCTTACACATTATTTTTTTTATTATTATCATACTAAATTCTCACAGCAATGCGCGGGGTTTCACCTAGTATCTTAAATTAATGTGAGCGCTCGTGAAATCTAAAACTTGAACTTAGAAGAAGATGTTTTTACCATAAGAAACGTAACCAGTTGACACCAGCACACTTCTCATGCTCAGGTAGTCTGGTCCAGCACCACCCATGCATGCAACCATGAGTTAATAGAATGTTCTAAATCAGCTATATCTACCCCTGAATATTTGCTAAGCTCAAGTTAAGGATACCACGAGTAAACATAATCATGGACAGTAGTACCTTCTCTGCATAAAATCGGCATCAACTTATACTCTTAAGAATGCAATCTTTTGCTCCGCTATATCTTGAAAATGCATGCTCACAATCTTATTGTCGCCTACATTCTTGCACGTCATTAATTGGACTAATTAATTAGCATGTGATAAATTAAAGAAGCACGTTCTTTCTAAAACCCCCGAATATAGTCGTGTCTCCAGCACCGATGGACCATGAGAGTTTCCCAAAAATAACACCTCGTTTGGTAAACGAGGCCACTATATAAGAGAGAAGGATTTGCATTGCTAAAAAGAAGTTCAGTTTCTAATAAAGGGAGATCTATTGCCTCCTCTTTTGCCCTCCAAGGGGGAGGAGGATCAGGGAGAAAGGGAGGGCCAAACAATACAAAAAGAATTACTGCAGGTTTAATTTGGCCGATCTCTCATGCCAATTTCTCGTCTTGTAATTAATATCTCCAGCAGTTCATGTATTTGCTTTGTTTAATCGTTCGTGCTGTGATGGTTCCTTCCTCTTTAATTTTATCCATTTTTTTTGTATGGGAAAATTTCTTCATCTTTGGAGTCTTTTTTTTTTTTTTGCAAATTTGCAGTGTGACATGCATGGGCTGTTTGGTTTTGCAGGAACCCTAGGGATTATAATTAGCGAGTTAACGGCAAATTAAGATGCCGGTGTCACGTGGCGGCAAGGCCGCTTCGTCGAAGGCCGACCCCTTCGACTCGGACTCGGACTCGGACCTGGTCCCGAAGAAGAAGCCGGGGGCGTACACGGCGCCCAGCGGCGCGGCGAAGGCGCGGTACAAGGACGACTTCCGCGACTCGGGCGGGCTGGAGCAGCAGTCGGTGCAGGAGCTGGAGAACTACGCGGCGTACAAGGCCGAGGAGACGACCGACGCGCTGGGCGGCTGCCTCCGCATCGCCGAGAACATCAGGGAGGACGCCGCCAACACGCTCGTCACCCTCAACAAGCAGGGCCAGCAGATCAGCCGCACCCACGAGAAGGCCGTCGAAATCGACCAGGACCTCTCCAAGGTCAATAGCTTGATTTTGAATCTTTTTTTCCCTTCTGAAAAAATGATCATGCTATGTACTTCATCCGTTTCATATTATAAGTCGTTTGATTTTTTTCTTAATCAAACTTAATTTTTAAAGTTTGATCAAGTTTGTTGAAAAATATAGTAGTATTTTTAACGCAAAACAAACATATTATGAAAATATATTCAATGTTAGATTTAATGAAACTAATTTGATATTTTAGATATGCTACTATATTTTTCTATAAGTTTAGTCAAACTTAAAAAAATTTGAAAACAAAGTCAAACGATTATAATATGAAACGGAGTGAGAAGTATAATGCATTGCCGTCTTGATTCCTGACAAAATTCAGTTAGCATTGCCAATGTCGTGCCAAAGTTGAGGATTTCATGTGAGAATGTATGATGGTTTTGATGATGGCTTTGCTCTTGTGTATAGGGCGAGTCGCTTCTGGGGAGCCTTGGAGGGTTCTTCTCCAAGCCATGGAAGCCCAAGAAAACAAGGCAGATCAAGGGTCCAGCCCATGTCTCGGGTACGAACTCAAACATATATCTGCATCGAAAAATTCAATTCCCAGTTCGATCATGTGCTCTCACTGTTCTTTGGCATATAAATGGCGATATGATATGTTTCAGATGATTCCTTCAAAAAGAAGGCGAGCCACATCGAGCAGAGGGAGAAGCTAGGGCTGAGCCCTAGTGGGAAGTCGGCTAATCGCAGCTACGCCGAGCCTACCACCGCCATGGAGAAAGTTCAGGTTTAATCTCGATCTCTCTGCCGCCATCGCAAAAAAAATAAAAAAAATCAGAGATTTGTCTAGCATAGCTAGCATCCATTATCTTCAATTCTTTTTGGTTTTGCAGGTGGAGAAACAAAAGCAGGATGATGCCCTAGATGATCTCAGTGGTGTGCTTGGGCAGCTCAAGGGCATGGCTTGTGACATGGGTTCAGAGCTTGATAGGTGAGTTAACTCCTTAATTTATTCAGAAAAAGACAGATTTTTTTTTTACCGGTGAAATATATATTTTTTTCAAGAACACAAAGGCAGAAGCTCTGCCTCATTTTATTGATAAAGAAAAGATACACATAGACTTAAGAAAAGATTCACACTAAAAACACTATCCTATAAGCATAAAGATCATTCCCCAAAGCTACACTAAACCCCTGATAATAACAAAGCAACCAAAACACCTGTAACACCCAACACCTAATAGTTCAAGATAGGATAATACTCCTGTTCTGCTAGTGGTTTCAAATGGAGTTTCACTATGTTAACCAACATACATTTCAGGCAAAACAAAGCGCTGGATGATCTGCAAGGCGATGTGGATGAACTCAACTCGAGGGTGAAAGGAGCAAACCAACGTGCACGCAAGCTAATCGAGAAGTAGGCTGGAAACATGGGACGATCAGCTTTGCCTAATTGCCTTGATCTGCAGTGCATTGGGGAAAATGTTAAAAGAGTCGTCCTCGCTGGCACAGCTTCTGCTTATCAATTAACTGGGTTTTGTTTTGTATTACCGGGGGCATATATATTTTTTCTGTTTCTTAATTTTCACGATGGCTGTTTTCTTGACGATCAAAGTTGTATACTGTATGTACATATATGAGAAAGAGAAATTACATATTGTTGACATCAAAAGATGCTGTCTTACTGAAGTTCTTCAGTGTATGTTCTCCAGCCTCCAGGACAATAAAAGGCATTTCTATATCCTCAACGGAATTACCTTTGGAAGAAATTAGAGAATACTGCAATCTTGCATAAGATTTTAATAGACAAGTAATATCCTCAAGAGTGTTACTTGAACTTATGTAAAAAAAAAGAAAAGAGTGTTACTTGAACTAATACGAATACTCTCACCGCTTTTTCGGTTTTATAATAACTAGCTGGGTGGCCCGCGCAATTGCGTGGCTAGCCCCCAAACTAAATCATATATTTTTCAGTATGATTTTACTTAAAATTTATTAAATAGCTATCTCGTTGTCTTAAAACTTTGAAAGACCAAACCTTATCATCCCCGTATTTCTAATTATATAGTTTTCAAAAGTCATATCAGCTGCTACCCCTTACTTCCGTCATATCCTTTTTATTTGCTTGCTCGATCTACCACTATTTCTATTCATTCTCTTTGAAACCTTTAAAAATTGGATCTTATAGTTTTTAGAGTTTCTCGTTGGGTTTCGTTTTTATAATTTCTAGAAGTCCCATCAAACGCTGTCATTATACTCCTCTACGACCCGTCCACTGTCTTTTCTCTTTATTGTCATTGGGATTTTAAAAATCGAACATAATTATCGTTCAGGTTCATTTTTTTACTTTCTAGAAGTCCCACCAAACCGTCAGCGGCTTTACAATTGTACTCCTTCATGGCTCGCATGCTGCCTCCCTTTTTTATTGTAATTGACATTTTAAAATCAAACATGATTTTAGAAGTTCGGAACCTTTAAAAATTGGGCCTTGTAGTTTTTAGAGTTTATTGTCTTGTTAGGTTTTATTTTTTATAATTTTTAGAAGTCCCGTCAAACGATGCTGCTATACTCCTCTACGGCCCATCCACCGCCTACTCTTTATTATCATTGGGATTCCAAAATCGAACACAACTATCGTTCGAATTCATTTTTTATTTTTTAGAAGTCCCGCCAACCGTCGGCGGCTCTGCAACTATACTACTATACACCCCGCCCGCTGCTTCTCCTTTTTATTGTCATTGAGATTTTAAAAGTCGGATATGATTATCAATGAGGTCTATTTTCTTTACTTTCTAGGTCCCGGCAACCGCATTGTCCGTTTGCTTTCACGGCCTGCCTGTCGCCCCACCTTTTAATCGTTATTAGGATTCTAATTGGTGTTTTATTAACAGTTTTTATATGTCGTATCAACTGCCACTACTCTACTCCTTTATAATTACTTAATTTATCTCGTCATGTGTTTTAGATGGTCTTTTTTTCCAATAGTCTTTATTTTTTATCACCATTTTTAGTTATTTATAAATTATATTCCTAACGGAAATACTTTTTTCTTTTTCTAATTTTAGAATTTTTTTTTCAAATTTTAATTAATACCGTATAGTGTTCTTTTAATATTTTTATTTTTTATTTTTGAATTTCAGTTATTTCAAAATTGTATCCTACTTGAACTCTCTTTTAATTTTTCTAATTTTGGATATTATTTTATTTTTTATTTTAAATTTTAATTAATCTCGTATTGGGTTTCTTACATCGATTCTTCTTTCAATATTGCTTATTTTTAATTCCGAATTTCAGTTAATTTAAAATTGTATTCTTACTTGAACTCTTCTTTCCTTTTTACTAATTTCAGATTTATTTTTATATTTATTCCGAATATTAATTAATCTCGTATTGGGTTACTATATGGACTGTTCTCTCAATATTTCTTATTTTTAATTTCGAATTTCAGTTATTTTAAATTATATTGCTACTTAGACTCTCCTTTTCTTTTCTAATTTTAGATTTTATTTTATTTTTATTCTGAATTTGATTAATCTCGTATTGGGTTCTTATATGGACTCTTCTTTCAATATTGCTTATTTTTAATTTCGAATTTCAAGCAATTTTTAAATTGTATTTCTACTTGGACTCTTCTTTTCTTTTTCTCCGATTAATGTGGGAATTTCTAGCCCCCACAGCGAACGTGGTGTCTTCTTTCAAAGCTGTTTTAATAATATAATAGATAGACGACGTCTTGACTTTTTCATATCCGTTTAACCATTCATCTCATTCAAATATTTTGTGCAAACAGTTAGTTTATGTTGGTGTAGGCCATATTATACTCCATCCGTTTTTAAATATTTAATATTGTTTACTTTTTAGCACGTGTTTGACCGTTCGTCTTATTCAAAAACTTTTGTGAAATATGTAAAACTATATGTATACATATAAATATATTTAACAATAAATTAAATGATAGGAAAATAATTAATAATTACTTAAATTTTTTTAATAAGACAAACGGTCAAACAAATTTTAAAAAGTCAACGGCGTCAAATATTTAGAAACGAAGGGATTATATCAGATGATTACTTGTAAACAGACGTCTATCACTGCTTACCGGCTAACCAATGGTGTATAAATAAACAGTTTAATTCAACTGAATGTTATCCATCAATATCCTGAAGCTCCTACTCCTACCTACTATTAATAAGATACTACTACCTCCATTTCAGATTATAAGACTTTCTAGCATTGCCCATATTCATATAGATGTTAATGAATCTAGGCATGTGCGTCAAATAAGAGTTGGATGAAGATTAAGATTTTCGTAGCACGCTTTTCAAACTGCAAAACGGTGTGTTTCGTGCGAAAAATATTTATATGAAAGTTGCTCTAAAATATCATATTAACCTATTTTTCAAGTTTGTAATAATTAAAACTCAATCAATCGTATATTAATGCCACCTCGTTTTGAGTAAAAAACTTAATCTTCATCTTCAGGAAAAAAGAACCCAAAGTATTGTCTCTGCTAAAAATATGAGATTTACCTTTTCTTTATGGTTTTTGAGATGCGATTTTGACCATATTTTTTCTGTTAGATTAAGTTCATAAAACCTAACAAGTTTATAGATTATGGAAGCCTTTTTCAAGACAAATATATTTACATCATTTTTATGTTTTCAAACTAAGCATTTTAAAATACAGTTAATGTTTGAAAAGTTTGACCGGATGTTGACCTCTCGGATTCTGAATTTTGATTGGAGATTCAAAACCCTTTTGTATGGGGGCGTTTTGGCTTTCATAGGACAGATGATGCACATGCTCGGGTCTTCTTCTCAGATCGTTGCTGGCAGTTTCTTGAGATCCATGTCCCAAATCTCCATGACATCGAGTATCTAGCAGCAGTCGAATTAAGGCTGTGTTTAGATCAAAATTTGGATCTAAACTTCAGTCATTTTCCATCACATCAACCTGTCATACACACACAACTTTTCAGTCACATCATCTCTAATTTCAACCAAAATCCAAACTTTGCGCTGAACTAAACACAGCCTAACCCAAATCGAACAAATCACAGCTGAAGTCTCCAGCTAGAAATAGCTGCTTTGCATGATCAGATCCTGAGCTAGCATAATTAGCGAATTAGTAAATATTGATCAGTGGTTTAGTTGGACCGTTGACTTGCTTGCTGTCCATGATCAAATCAGCATCTTGGGTTGATTAAATTATTAACCCATCTAAAAAAAAAAACAGGTACATAGCAGGCACCGCTCAGGCCTGAGGGAGCCAGCAATTCCACTATTCCAGGGGCCAAAACAAGTAGAACTCCAGAAGAGTTTGATAAAATTCATAGGAGGCCAGAATAATGCTGAAAGCATCTTAAATTGTTTTTCTGCACAGAGCACTGTCTAGTCGCAAGATTAACTAGATGCATGAACTGAGTAACATACCACAGCAGCAGTAATGAGGCTTTCACCAAAAGTTACAAGAACAAAAATGGACTGAGATTTTTAAAACAGGGGCATTACTGAGATGACCCAACTCCAAGGCAAGCAATTTGTTGTTCCCAGCATTAGCAAGAGCTAAAGCACTAGAACAGCAGCAACTGATACAGAGAGTACATGAAGAATATAAGCAACTCAGAGTAAGCAGTATGCCTGTTACATAACAACTTGCACTTATATGGTCCAGACAGAAAATGGACATTATGCAATTCAAAGGGTATCAACTCTAGATTCTTGATTGTTTTTCTCAAGAGCTCCGGAAAATAATGGCAACTATTGGAATTCCCAGCCTTAAGTTTTACATTAAGAAATGTTGGGACGCATTTCATCAACTCGGATTAATTCCATCTGCATCATAATTTAAAACAAAATGACAAAAAGAGTGAAGCCTGATTTTTAGCAGTCAGAACAAGTAATTTCCTAACAGCTAGCCAGTTTTGAACAATTTAAGGGAGATAAAATATCCAGATGCCTAAAAAAAAGTAAACTCCAGGATCATAGATTGGACATAGATGTACGCAACACAATGAATTGGCAAATCGAGAGGAAACCAAACCGGTAGCATACCTCTGAAAGTTTGGGGGAAACCCAAAAGCTTGATAATTCACTAACCAGGTATGAATGAACCATCACTGTTAAGTAATTTTGTACAATAATAATACACCAGAGACATCAGATCCATAAATAAAACTAAGATGCCACACTTTCCTGCTTAAAAGTCAAAACCATGGTTTTAGGACTTATGGGAATGATGCGTCAGGCAGAAAAAAAACGTGGCACTTGAGCAAAATCAGTAAAAAAAAAAAAACAACAACACCATGCTATATTTTCTTGTATATCTATTAAAAAACAAGTACGAATTATAAAATATTATATTTCCATTGGTAGTTACTCTTTGGTAATGCAAGTTCCATAACAATGGAATATGTCTTCTTTTTTTTCCTCACTAAACCAACTAAATTGCAAATGTGAGATATAAAGTTCTGCGTATAACTTATTTGAATGTTATACATTTCAAATTAGCCATGCAATATGTTTTGCTTCATATCCTCACTTAAATGCACTATGGTTTAAAGATAGATGAAGTGATGAACTCAAGCAAAAACCAGTACAAAATCAGTATATTGGTGATGCTGGTTGAACTAGAAAGCTAGCATTGAAGTGCAATGCAATACACAAGGTGAGGCTACTTCCTTCTGACCTGAGTTCCTAGCCTCCTGTCAAGTTTTAGAATCATATTTTTCTTCAGTTAGCCATACTAAAATTTTACTTCATATCTTCACTTAAATATAGCATTGAAGATGAGATAGATAAACTCAAGCCACCACCACGTACGAAATCAGTATATGCTTGTTGCACTAGAAGCTAGCATAGTAGCATTGAGATGTAACGCAGTATAAAAGGCAAGTCTATTTCTGCTGATTTGAGCCCCTATCACATTTAACTCCATGATAAACATTAGATTGCAACCTCTAACTGTTACATAACAATAACAATTCCATGAACAAAAAGAATAGAAAAAAAGAGTGGAAAATAAAACAACACCATCCCCAAGTCACAAAATGCTCTGACCTTGAAGAGAGCCAAAGCAAGTATGCTATTGCCATACCAACTCTCATCAGGACTTTTCAAGAAGTGGTCGATATCTTGGCCTTCACATCAAGATTCTCCTTGTCATCAATAGGCTTTGTGGTCTGATTCCTGACCCTCTTGATCTTGGGGCTTTCGAGCCCCTTGTGAGCAAACCCATAGAGCCGCAGCACCTGGTTATCGGCAAAATTAAATGCTCGCTCCATACTCCTGAGACACCGCTCCACAGGATAATCCCCATAGCTTCCACATGGCTTGCACCCGACAAAATGAGTCACGAATGGCCACCGCTCATCCCCGAGCCCCGGATGGTGGTTCTCCATCATCTCCTCGTACTTATCTACTAGACCAGCCCAGAAGCCATGTAAGTAGTACGAATTCTCTATGAACACCTTGTTCATCCACTTCTCCTTTTGCGAGAGCAAGAGGTAAATCAAAGCAGACTGATCATCAGCCTCAAATGCCGGGCGTCCCTTGAGGTTGGCAGTAAGTATCTTCCCGGCTTCATCTCGGATGAATCCCTTGGGACCCATAGGCGCCCACGCATCAAGAAGATCAAGCGACCACTGGCAATTCCGGAAGAGGAAGCTGCCGGTGTTGAGCGCGATCCATGAGTGCTTCTCAAAGAGGAGATCCTGGTATCCATGGATGATGAGGTTGCGGTCTTGGTAGCGCGAGAGGGGCAGCTCGAAAGCCATGTCGGTGAAGAGCGCGTCGCTGTCCATCCACCAGATCCACTCGACCTCCGGGTGGGAGAGCATGAGGCGGCGGAGCAGAGGCAGCTTGGCCCAGTACCCGGCGAGCTCGGTGTCGAGGTGGGCGAGGTTGTGGACGATCTCGATGCCGTGGAGGCGGCAGTAGTCGATCTTGTTCTTGGTGGTCTTGAGCAGGTAGTGGTCGCCGAGCGGGTTGTCGCAGGGCCCCGGCTGCGAGCCCGTGACGAGCAGGATCCTGGGCTTGCCGCCGGCGACGGTGGACGGGAACCCAGGGTTCTGCCTGAGCCAGCGGCGGCGCTGACCGTCCCAGTCGGAGATCTTGGGGCCGAGCGCGTAGCGTTCGACAGCGGAGGCGTAGGCCGCCGCCGCCTCCGTGGCGTTGAGCGCGGTGGCGTTGAAGGAGCCGGCGAGGTCCCCGGCGGCGGCGGCGTCGTCGTCGGCGCCGCCGTCGGAGCGGATCTCGCGGAGGATGCGGTCGATGTCCTCGACGGCCTTGGCGCCGGCGAGCGCGTCGGCGTCGGTGGGCTGGTTGGGGAGGGAGAGGTTGAGGCCGATGGTGCCGCGGAGGACGAGGATGGTGACGAGGCCGCAGAGCACGGTGATCTTGACGTTGTTGAAGGTGCGGTGGATCTTGCGCGAGCGGTGGTGGTGGCCGTGGCTGCTCAGCGGCGACGCCCCACGCGGCCGCGGCGCCGTCATCGGCAGCCCGCCGCCACCGCCTCCTCCCCCCTTGCCGTTGTTGTACCCCATCCCTTCCTGCCCCATTCCACCCCCAACCCTAGCCGCCTCGGATTTATCAGCCGCGCGGGAGGGATCGGGGCGGCTCGCGAATCGGGGGCGCGGCGATAGAGAGGGGGAGTGTGAGTGGCTCACTCACATCACATGGGCGAGGCGCTGGCGCGGGCGCGGTGAGGCGGTGAGAATTGAGATGGGATCGGTGAGGTGGGTTGGGATTTGGAGGAGAGGAGGCGACGGGGAGTCCCCTTCCGGCCTTCCGCGGCTCAATTTTTTTTCTTTTCTCCCGTTATTGTTGGCTTCTGGGGCAGAGGGCTGTCGGCCGTTGACTCGCGCGGCTGAATCCCTCCCTGGGTGGCTTCGGCTTCGGCGGTTCGGCCGGCGCGGTGTCGCAGCCAGCCAGGCCGCGTTTCCTGTTTCCTGGGCCGTGCGGTGCGCACGCGCTCGCTCGCTCTCCGGGTGTGTGTGGGTGTCGTCTGTTTTTGGACTTGACTGATGCTGAATTGCCGAGAACGGAGTTGGTGTTTTAGGTGTGTTTAGTGAGAGGGCTCGGGATTCGGAACGGAATTAATTGCGGAACGTGCGGTTTGCCCTCCCGCGAGTGGCGAGCGCTCGTCGGTGCCTAAAAATCGAGCGTTTACAGGGGTGCCGTTCGCTAAGGTAACAAATGGAAATAATACTAATCCCTCTGTACTAAAAAAAATTAGTAAAAATGAGACACAACCCAGTAAATATCCATATTGGACATAATCTAATAGCATGAATATAGACAAATATGTTATGAATCTGGACAGAGATTAGACACAACCTAATACTATGGATCTGAATAAAACCACAGTACTATGATTCTGAACATACCAGGTTATATCTTATCTAATACTACACATGTCCCAAAATATAACCAGCTTTAAATAGATGGGATACATCCTAGTATTACGAATATAGACAAATGCATGTCTAGATTCATAGTACTACGATGTGTCGCATCCGCTTAAAGATAGTTATATTTTAGGACAGGGGAAGTATTAGAAACTGCTTTGGTCTGACGTCAAAACTTACTCTACCAAATATTTGGTAATTTTCGAATACCGTATTTCATATGTTTGGATCACTTCCAATTTTTGCGATATCAATACAATTGATACTATTCTACTCTACCAAAAAAATATATAGCGCCTCCAAATTTAGCATTACCAATAGATTGGTAAAAATATATAAGATGCCCAGTTTTTCGGAGGTGATCATAGGGGTACCGGAGGTGATGGTATGCGTGTGCGTATTTATAGAGACGAGTGTATGCGCATTGTGGAAGCCTACCTTTATAGAGTGTTTCTTAAAAAGAAATGGTAAGATGTTGCTATATATATATTTTGTGTTGGAGGGAATAACCCATTTGGAGGGGACCTTTTTAATTCGGGAAAATATTCTACCTCTCATGCCATATATTCCTAAACCAAACTCGCAATGTCTGAAATCCAAACTCGTATCATCGTTTGCATCTACTGCAGACGTTCAACCACGAGTAAACGACAGTACACCTCTCCTTGCGGTCTTGGAGCTTTCTTACAATCTTTCAAGTTTCAACTAGCAACAGCAACTTGTTCCTCTTTCCGTTGGATGATCAACTACGGTGGGAATTCCATCGCCGTAGGCGCAGCTGTTTACGGCAGAAATTCCAATCCCATTGCATCTGCTTCAGGTCAGACAACGTTGGCTGACCACAGTCCAATTTGACGAAAGCAGCACACGCAGGCTCCGCATGTATCTAGGCATAGAACGGAATAATTTGCTAAATTCACCCGTCATTTGTGCACAAACGGAAACTACTCCAGATATCATATAAGCATTTGCTAAACATGGCAACTAAAAACGTGAATTCTTCAGTAGTAAAGAGCAGCGAGGGAAGCATATAAACTCAACATATCATGGTCGGTGCTGATTTTGCTGAAACAAATCATTGGTAATGAAACCTTCTAACAAATCTATGGTTCGACAGATAGTCATCAGTGCAATATCCTGCATCTGAATTGTTATAGAACAAAATGGAGTAATTCAAAAAGCGTGTTTAGGTTGCCGTTTCCCAAGTTAACCAAAAATGGGTATAATCCAAGGAATGGTCCTAGTCAAACAAACTGAAGCCCATGTCCTGCACACACAAGATTAAAAAGAAATAATCAGTCATCAATCCGTCAGATGCTAGTACCATGCCAAAAACAATATGATACGTATGCTGGAAAGTATACTATATGGAAACAAGTACTACCATCATAATGGAATGGCACGATGCAGCCTAGACATTGATGGGAGTAAAATTATCTATAGATGAAAACTGATACAAGTATGTACCATTCCAATTTCATGACATGATTTGATCGCGTATATAGAAAACCCAAAAGGAATACTACTGCAGTGTATAGTGCAAATAAAATAGATGAACAAGCAATTCGAAGAAACTCATGCTGATCAACAGGATACCATGAACTCAAGCATAGAGCAATGTATCTTACATCATCAGATTCTTCTTTCTCCTCCACCTTCTCTTCTTTCTTAGCCTCAGATTGAGGAGCAGCTCCACCACCAGCAGCCGGAGCAGCTGCTGCAACAGCTACGCCACCTCCGCCACATGGAACAGAAGCAAACTTCTCCCGACCGGAAGCAATAATCTCAGTGATATCCTTACCAGCCAGTTGAGACAAGAGTAACTCCATCTTGCCATGGTCAACTTCAGCTCCAACTGTTAACATCAGAAAAGAAGAAATAATCATGATTGTACATGCAGGCATGCAGCTACCTAACTTTATCTTTTATGCACATAAACTGGCATGCCTAACATGACAAACACATAGTATAACCTATAGAATGTGAAATGCATATTAGACCACTGAAATTCTCCAAGAAAAGGCCCTAACATACACACATTGGATAATTAGTATCAGCAAATTTTCTAGCATTCCAAAAAAAAAGCTATTGTTACATGATCATGTCAGAAGAGCAAATAAATTTCAGACAATGCATCCTTCATAGGACGCTACTGAAAGATATAAATTGTTGAAAGAAACGTCCAAATGGCAAAACTACATGAAAATGTAAGGCCATAACAAAAGATACAAAATCCCCATGTAGAATGGTTAGAACTTAGAATTCATACTTATGATTGTATCATATCATAGGAAACAAAATAAAATTCGAACAATGCCACAAAACACATGAACACTTAGATAATACTCATATCAAGGCAGAACCCACTTATTTTTCAGACATCTCAGAGCAGCCAGTTCTATTTCACTAATATCATTGATTGCATGCCCTTACTGCTGCAAGGACAGGACAGCATGTGGTTCTTACATAGAATTTTCTACTGCATTACAGTTTTATACCTGCTGCAATATTTTTTTACCCTTTCTGAAATACGTAGTTTCTTTAGTTCGAAAAAGGGTGTTACAAACCTCAAAATGTTCAACATTAACACTAAACATTATCTGGAAAACGAAGACAACAACCTTTCATAAGCAAGCAAATCTTAGCCTCTTAACATATGACAAGGAGTAATGAATCCCTTGACATCACGGAAGCACCATCTAAAACCCCAAACCACTTTTGCAAGCAGGCTAAATATTCATGGGGGCATTACCATCATTTGAAAATAACGATCATGACAACATGTGACAATTGAGGGGATTATCCAGTAAAACTACCTGACTCCAGAATAGTTGTAAGATCCTCCGCAGATGGGTTAGGGTTACCAGCAAGAGTGGCAAGGAGATAGGCAGAAATGAACTTCATTCTGAGTAGATCACAAAAAAAAATTAAAAAGGGGTAAAAGAGCATAACTATAAAAATGAAAAAACAGCTACAGTACAAACTAAGCTTGTACTCCCTCCAGTCACAATTGATCATCACATTACCAAAACGAAAATAGTCATATTTGATTGTCACCCAACATCTACAGTCATCAAATTTCCTTTTTTTTTTATTGTGTGCATGCGTGCAAGAATTTAATTGCGAGATTCGTTAAATCCTGCTCCATATTTATCGCTTGCATGCATACATGATTTAATGAGTGATTTTCGCCAGATTATTTAAATCCTTCCGCAACTTTGGTTGGTCTTGTGCCATGCGCCATGCGCAGCATGCACAGGCAACTGAACAGGCACTGCGACACTATGGCTTTGGCCTTTGATTGATGCTGCTGCTACGGGTTCACGTCCTCTACTATAATGGCACCACCATTACAGAAGGGACCTGCATATCACTGACTGTAATGGTAGTGACATTATGGTAGACGATCCTCGCCTGCTGCTACATGATTTATTTTTCCTTGGTATTGCTGCACATACCTAATAGGATGATCAATTGTGAATGGAGGGAATGGAGGGAGTATCGAGAAAACAACAATGCATTTAAAATCATTTCAAACATTTAGTGAGCATCTTCATCAAATTCATCAAGCGAAGACAACATTTATTGGACGTTTGTTTTTCTATCCAGAACTATTCTTTCCATACACCGTCACCACATCTAAACAAGCATACGCAGAAATTAAGTTTAACCTAGGCGAGCAAAATCCTGAAGATAATAGTACTATTGTTTCAGCACACAGTTTTGGTACCAAATTCTAACGCCTTTCCAAATCTTGCATGTTCTGTCCATGGCTCGAACGGCTACAAGACATCTACACTCCCCAGTTACCACAAAAATTCATGGACAAGGGCTCAAGGAAAAAAAAATGAAATGGGTAACCCATAGAACCCTATTTGGAAAAACACACGCAGATCTAATGCAAGGCTTAAGGCCTACCCCCATCAATGCTCTACGCAAGAACAACCGATCCCACATTCCCACCTACCCCTAAACATCGCCTCCGCCTACACGACGCTCGCAGCTTAAAATCGGCGAGCACGCAGCAAGCGAGAGGAGACCGGCGCCAGCATTGCAACAAGAAATCGGGAGGAGGATGGGTAGAGGCCCTTACTTGGACGACGGCGGGGGGCGGTGTGGATCCGGGAGCCGAAGAGTGTGCGGGGAGAAGGTGACGGCGGCGAGGTCCCGGCTCTAGTGCTTCTCGCTAGGGTTTCCAGGAGACCAGGAGGGAGATGGGCGAGGAATAAATCGTCCTCCGGTTCGGAGGGTGCCGGGTTGGGCCGGGCCTCGAGAAAGTTGTTCGGGAGGAGATACGGGCCAGGCCTGAAGCCAGTACGGGTATAGTTTCATTCGCGTCCTCCAACTATAAAGCCGGGTGGAGACCATGTGCTCTAACTATCGAACCAGTACAAACCAGTGTTTGAAACCGATTGAAGATAAAGAGTAAATTGACTCACGTAAAACGAAAAAACCATTATCACATAATTAATTATGTTTTAGTTATTATTACAAATTTAACAAATGGATATATTTGATATTTTAAAGCAACTTCTATATAGAAAATGTAATGCATTGTGCATGTTCTTTTCTCATTAAGATTAATATTTTACCTCGATTTTCGTTAGTTTTTCAAACGACAAAAGGTGCATTTGCAAGCACTTAACAGTAGAATTTTCCATAAACTATTTTTCCTAGATGCATTACATTTTTCCAATGGTAGATCATATATAAAATGTACTCCATCCGTTTCACAATATAAGTCATTCTAGCATTTCCCATATTCATATTGATATTAATGAATCTAGATAGATAGATAATGAATCTAGACATATATATCTATCTAGATTCATTAACATCAATATGAATATGGGAAATGCTAGAATGACTCACATTATGAAATGGAGGAAGTAACAACAGTAAGTACACAAATAACCATTCTGAATAGAAAAACAAACTGAGAATACATAATAGACATATAAATCCCATTTTATGACAGCACCTTGTTTGATATGTATACACATTAAACCAGGGAGTATAAATATTAAGAGTATGCGATGTCTTGGAGGATGCATTATCTACTAGGTTGGACTTCACGCACTGATTAGTGGAGCAACACGAGTGATAGGGCACACACATAGGCTAGTGAGTTTAGCTGCAACCATTCCAGGTGCCTCTTGCATATCAAGGTCCTTGGATGCCATTTCGTCGGGCAATTTCCAATCAAAATGGTAAAGGAGGCTAGCTAGGGGTAGCTCTATGTTGGCTATCCCAAGGTTTATACCTGGACAAATTCTACGACCGGAACCAAATGGAAGGTACTCAAAAGTATTCCCTTTGTAGTCCATATCACTATTTTCAAACCTCTCTGGCATGAACTCCTCAGGGTCTTCCCAATACTTAGGGTCCCTGCCCAATGCCCACACATTAACAAACACACATGTACCTTTCAACACATCATAGCCCATAACCTTGCATGTCTCACGGCATCTATGGGGCACTAGGAGGGGTCCAGGGCAATGCAATCGTAAGGTCTCCTTGATCACCATTTTTAGATAGTTTAGCCTAACAATATCATCCTCAGTGACTGTGACCTTCCCTTGGAGGGCTTGGCGCACCTCGGCTTGTACTTTTGTCATTACTCTTGGCCACCGAATAAGCTCTGCCATGATCCAGATCATCACTGTGGCTGATGTCTCGCTACCCCCTGAAAACATGTCCTGTAATAGTTTTTTTGTTTGTTAGGTATATGATAGTTTTTCAACTCATAGGTCATAGATAGTTGCACAATGTATAACCTAATCTTTTAGTGATAAGTATCATGAAATTTAATTCTACTAAAGCACAATGTATAACTAAATTTACAGAAATTTGTTGTGACTTTGAATAGATTGTTTCTATATTTGTCATTTTACCAATATGTGCTTTTCGTTTGGTTTATGTCAAATTTTTAAGTCAAATCTACCATACCAATTTTATGTATAACTAAGTACTTTAAATTTAATTGGTAGTTAAGATTTTGAAAGTTTGACTAGAGATTATCTATAACACCATGACCGTAATTTTTTATTTCATAGGTTTTCTGCCTTCTAGTTATCTAGATATATCCGACACCCTAGTCGCATATATACACGATGGAATTATATATAGTAGATAGTATATCAATCTTTACTTTAACTCAGATGCAGCGAAATGTTGCACCGACATTTATGATAGCCACTGGATCCCTCTCGTGCTTGATCTATATCATAACTGTTTATTACTCATGCACATGTGAACTTCTATATCAATGGTTATAGAACTCAAAATATGGACCTTTCATAAACTGTAAGTACATGATTTTGAAATTGTTTTCTCAAGCTTTTTTTTAATTATGCCAAAGTTTCCTGCTGCAACGTGCAAGATATTCACAAGTTTATAAGAGGCTGTTTGGTTGAAGGGACTAAAATTTAATCCCTGTCATATCGGATATTTGGACACTAATTAGAAGTATTAAACGTAGACTATTGACAAAACTCATTCCATAACCCCGGACTAATTCGCGAGACGAATCTATTGAGCCTAATTAATCCATGATTAGCCTATATGATGCTACAGTAAACATGTGCTAATTATGGATTAATTAGGCTTAAAAAATTACCTCGCGAATTAGCTCTCATTTATGCAATTAGTTTTGTAGTTAGTCTTTGTTTAATGCTCTAAATTAGCGTCCAAACATCCGATGTAACAGTGACTAAAGTTTAGTCCTTGGATCCAAACACCACCTAAATTCTTATCCAACAACAAAAAAAGACTCATGTAGACTAGAAGATTATGTTATGATCCAAACTTTTGAAGTATCACAAGAAAATAATTAATGATATGGGCCTAATTTAGTAATAAATACATAAAGTATGTTCTATTTATGTGGAACCTAGTCAGCAGCATGTTCGTTCGCACATGATACATATTTTTAAAAATAATAACTGATATTTATTAACTTGAGTTTACAAATATCAAACAAATGTTATTGAGACTCAAAACTGACCACAATATAATTCGTTATTACTTAGTTTCAAATTTTCGAAATTGTTAAATCACCAAAACAGAACTAAGTGAGGTTTATGATTCATCAAACCTAGTCACCAACTCAATGTTATTTGGCTGTTCAGTTTATTAATTCTGCCTTTCAGATTTAATCAATAAAGAAAATAACATAATCAAAACTACAGACTGAGTACCACTTAATTTTCGTTAATTATAAATTTCAGAATTATTAAATCTAAAAAAAGACTACGATTGTGATTTCAAACGATGTGCAGCTTGATATTCATTAGTTCTGGAATTTTGTAATTATTCAAATCATCAAACTATAATTGAGATTCTAGACTATGTATAACTATTAATTAATCTAAAATTTTAGAATTATGTTCAGATAATATATTCCACTCATCAGATTTATAATATTCAATGTTTATGAAAATATTTGGTCAAATTTTTAACTTTTACCAAAAAATTTCCTTAAAGGGGAAGTTTTAATAAAATGGTACACATAGATTTTCTCAAAAAATATTATCGTAATATCTTAGACTTAACTTCGAATATAGAATTGATGGTCACACTTTTATTATAAGTGCAATGTATTTATGACTAAATGGGATATAACTAAGAGTACGAACTTGTACGGCTTGGTATTTATTAATTCATATATAGATATATCGATATATTCTTTGGTGGAAGGCCTTGATCATACATTTGATAGATGGACATGTATGATTTTTTTCTTTCTAGGTTAACATGATAATTTATATATTTTATTATTATGATTGATGCTAGATTTTCTAGCTTTTTTGAGGAATTTTTTCTAGCCTTTTTACCTTCTAGGATTGATGTGGGCCTCAAATCTATCTATGATATGTATATCTATCTATCTATTACAATGATGATAAAAAAATTACACTTGTTGTTGTGGAGAGGTTATAAATTCTCGCATTATTCAAAGAAAAAGAGAATGATAATTGGCACTCCAATTGGATAAATCTAAATTATGCTTCATCTGTTTCATATTATAAATCATTTTGACTTTTTTTCACTTAAACTTAGTTAAGATTGACTAAATTTATAGAAAAAGTAAACAACATATAAAATACCTTATTAGATTCATTAAATCTAGCATTGAATATATTTTGATAATATGTTTGTTTTCGACTATAAATGCTATTATATTTTTCTATAAACTTAGTTAAATTTAAAAAATTAACTAAGAAGAGATTCTAAATGATTTATAATATGAACTAATATAACATAAAAGAACATATAATGTGAGGGCAATCTTACAAACAGAAGCACGACGATGATTTCATTTGTGATCGGGATCGGCGTGCCGCCTTCCTTCTGCAGCCCTAGCAGGACGCTGAGGAAGCAGTCTTTCCCTGCAGCTGCAGCAGCTGCCTCGTCGCCGCCGTCGCCGCCGCTCCCCATGTACCCCTCGTGCTCCCGGACGATGTCTGCTATGATCCGCTCTATCCTCTTCCGGCTCGCGAGACCCCTCCGCGGGGCCGCGCCCAGCATCCGCGCGAGCCTGGACGACGGGAAGAGGTCGGCGACGGTGAGCCAGGTCAGCTGGTTCTTGGCCTCGTGGAGCGCGCCCAGGAACTCGTCCCGGTACCTGCACCGGCCGCCGACGGAGCACCTCATCACGACGTCGTTGACGAGCCTCCCGAGCCTCTCGGTGAGGTCCACGGCGGCGCCGCCGCCGCCGGCCAGCTCCCGCACGAGGCGCGCCACCTCGTCCTCGCGGACGCGGCTGAACGACCTCACCCGGGTGGCCGTCAGGAGCTCCTGCGTGCACAGCTTGCGCAGCTGCCGCCACCGCTCGCCGTACGGGGAGAAGAAGATGTCGCTGGCGTCGAAGGAGACCGTCGCGACGGTGCTGGTGACGTGGCGGTCGGCGAACCTGAGGTCCTGGTTCCTGAGGATCTCCCGCGCGGCCTCCGGCGTCGACGCCACCACCGCGGGCACCTCGCCCAGCCACAGCTGCATCAGGGGCCCGTGCTTCTGCGACAGAGCGCGCAGCGCCCTGTGGGTGTTCGGGTTGCTGGCGAGATGGTGGATGCTGCCGATCACCGGCAGCGTCCATGGCCCCGGGGGAAGGTTCAGCCTGGGCTTCTTGGAAATCGAGACCAGCTTGGAGAGGAGGATGGCGAGGAGCATAGACAAGGCCAGAGATAGTAGTATCGTCTTGTCCTCCATGTTTACTGGTAGGAGAGGTAACTGCTTAACTTGGGGAGACAGCTCAATTTTGTGAAGGATTGTGTCTTGTATTTATAGTCCACGACACTAGAATCTACAGGTCAAACAGGATAAAGCCATAAAGGTTATGTACTAATCAAATCTATCAACATCGATTACTTCTATATCAATATATACCAGATTAACATCAATTACTTCGATATCAATACCAGAGACTTAAGTAAAAAAATTTGCCTCTCGCATCGTCCTCCTCACGGGCCGGTGGCTCGGGAGGTGACAACACCATCACCACCTCCCTCCCCCTCCCCCCTTTTCTGCCTCGCCGCAGCCGCCTGAGCGGGCGCCAGCAAAACCGTGCGGCCATAGGGATGGGGGGCTTCTTCCTTCTCTCACTCTGCACTTGGACAGCTAGGGGAGCTGATCGGGGCAGCGGCGGCGGCGGCAGCTAGCTAGATCCGCACCGTTCCAGAACGAATCTGACGGGGTGGCGGTGGGCGGCAGGGCTAAGTGGTGGTGACGGCGGCGACGACTAAGGTTGGCGGCGACAGAGCCCTTGCCCAGATCCACGTCGTTTCCGACCAGGTCTGGCGGGGTGGCGGCGGCGACGACTGGTGGTGGCAGCGGGAGTGCGCTGGGACGCAAGGCCGGCTGGAGCAGTGTCAGCACCGGCGGGCCGGCGAGGCAATGACAGCGGTGCGGCGTCGGTGAAATAGTCAATAGGAAAAAAAACCATAGAAAAAAACAATTTTTGTAACAGCTTTCTCGCATAAAATCATTTCTGGCGGCCTATTTCTATTGGTGTGATGAACAGAAAAAAATCATGTTGGCACCAAATCAGAAATAACCATCGGTCTTCTCAAAAAGAAATAACCATCGATGTGCTGTGTGCACCATCATAAAATTTGGCTTTCAAGAAGAAAAATAACCGAGTTCAAATTGAGTACAAATTAATATTTACTAATTTTAAATTTTATTAAATCATCATAAAACTATGATTGAGACTCCAAACTAGATACAATTTCCTATTTATAAACTCTAATTGTTTTGGAATTACCAACTCATCAAAAACTATAATTGTGACTTGTGAGGCTCTAGGCTGAGTAGAACTCAATATTCATTAAATCGAAAATTTAGAATTGTTAAATCATGGAAATACTATATTTGAGAGTTCACACCAAGTATAACTTAATCCATTAATTTTGAACATGATAAATCTACACATTAATTTTAAGACGTTCTCAGCTAGCCATAGATTTGATAGATGGATTCATATAATTTTACCTTTTTAAATTAATGTGAGAATTTGGAGTTTTTGTTATTAATGTTTCATGCAACTGTCAGTATTTTCAAATTTGATAGTGTCTAAGCCTCGTCACTGGTGAATTCCGGAAGAATATTATACTGTGACATTGGCGAGCTAAACTAAGTCCGTATTGTCAATTTTGTCATCCCTCGTGGGTTTACCTTGGGGACAAGGCTGCTAACGGCCATTTCAGTCCCTAATGGTGTTGTTGAGACAAATATTAAAATATCCTGGTCAGACGCCAATGTCCATTTCTCTATGACAATATTTGACTTGAACCGGTTAACAAGCTGGAAAGTTCTTTCACAAAAATGTAGACCTCACTTAAAACAAATTGTTAACCTAAAGTGACGGTCAAGTCATGCTTTCAGTGACATCTGACTCGCCGGCTAGCCCTCGTCTCTGATGTTAGAAGAAGCAAGCTAGCTAGATGTAAAATATAATCTGGCCTAAATTAAACGTTAGTTTGATGACCGTAACAAAAGCTCAATAGTCAATAGTCAATAAACGTGGTATGAATATCTAATGCTAAGGGCGTTGTTACGCCGCAAAAAAAAATTTTATGACGACAGGAATGATTCCATACGGATTCGCGACTATTTGTCTGTACTCTGTACTAGGTCCAACATGCATCTATTCCTCACGCAGAGGATTCCTAATTTCCTGTTTGGATTTTGGAGCTCTCAGATTCTACACGATCGAATTCCAAATAAATTACTTCAAGCTAAACAGAATTTATTTACTACAAAGAAAGCCCGAGTGATCGCTGAGTTGTGATCACACCAAAGCCTAAGCTTTTACTTTTCTTTTTACGAACAAGCGACAACGTACCAATTTCATTGAATATAGCGAAAAAAGCCAATAATTGCGAGTGAAGGAAATAAACTGAAAAGGTAGACAATGACCTATGGCAACAACTTTATTAGGCGCTTGTCTCCTGCCATCATCCAAGATCTTATGTTTTCCTTTATTTTTTCGTTATCGGCAACATCGTGGCAAACTCCTTTTGTTGAAAAGACCCTCTAATTTCTCCCTTCCAATTTATTTTTCCAAGAGACTTGGAGAAGTAGGGATCGTGTTCCTTGCTTGGGACGCCTGACGCATTGCAAACGTCTCTCACCACTCGTGGACCGTGGCAGTTGTCGCTCATGATACTGGTTTTAGCGGATTGCATGCAACCTGGAGTATGTTGTTATCATCTACATTCTACACGGAGGCCTAAGTGATTAGCAACAAAAGGCTTTCTAGGACTACGTCTTTTTAAGAGAATAGATGTAATCGTCCGTTCAAAATATAGCTAGTTAGCTATAAATCTGGGAAAAAACTTATCGTTATTGTGTTATTAATTACTCTGGTTTTGGCTATTATGTACACCGTCACTATATCCGTGTCCACACGTACTAATAATAATATTATGAAATATATTAAAACTTTAATATGCACGTAGTTTGTTGGTTATTTTCGAGTTATATTGGTTTAAATTGAAATAAAATTCCATGTGTGTAACAACTTAATAATAATTAATTTTGAGTTTCCAAATTAAACTAATAAAATGCTAAATGGAGAGTTCACTTCATATAATATCATATAATATTTATTATGTCCGAATTTTGAATTATTAAATTTGGGAAAATTAAAGCTAAAGAGTCCATGGTAATGCCGTGTTTTATTTATCATAAATTCTCAATACAATCTACCTAATCAATGGTCATCTCTTCGTTGGTTGACTTAAGAACTTTCTTGGAGTGTGAATTTTTACTGTAGGCATTGATTCAACATTGTTGTATTACTGAATCAAAATACAACAAGAGATCTTGCTTTTAATCATAATAACCCAGTGGAATCTTTTCCCCTTTTTGCTAGAAGAATCATATTCCAACCAAAGACAGAAGAAATTATGTACATCGTCTAAAGTGTAGTACCTATATATACAAATTAGGAGTACAACAATTTGCAGTTACAATGTTCACTACTGCCACTATACTATACAATACCCCCAACCCTGCAGAATCTTTTGCAATAAACTGTCGAACGATACCACTGGTAAAGGCCAAATTTCTGTCTGGTAAAGGCATTTCCCTTAAAAAAAAGAATTGCATATACAGGAATTTTCAAAGCAAGACTCCAAGAGTGGAAAGTGGAGACTCTCTTGGTCCGCTGGTAAAATGTGCGGATGCTGTGCGACCTACAAGCTGACAATTCATACCTCCACTGGACAAACTGACTGTTAGTATCTCCATAATGTTAGTGCTATATTAACATGGAAGTGATTTGTGAGGATTTTCCAGGTGGAGCATTTGCTCAACAACCATCCGGAGTAAGTTTTGATAGCCTGTCTGCTGCAAGCCTCATGGTTTTGGCATTTCCATTCTGTTTGGCAGCAGAACAGAGTAAACTCCAGGCTGAAGCACCAGATTCTGAAGGGACTACACTATCAATGAAATGCTCTGCTTCCTTGAACATGCCAGCACGGCCCAAAACCTCAATCATGTGGGAGTAATGCTCCTCTGAAGGTTGTATTTTGTAAACCTCGGTCATGGATACAAAGAACTGGAAAGCTTCATTTACAAGGCCGATTTCCGCACAGGCCTTCAGCACCGATAAGAATGCTAGGGAATTTGGTGATTTCTCCTTCCTTAACATCTGCACAAACAGGCGAATGGCTGTCTCTGGACAACCATTTTCTACACTAGCCATGATTATTGAGGTCCAAGAAGAAGAATTCCTGCCTGAAGTATTTCTGAAGGCCTCAAATGCATGTGTGAGGCTACCACAACCTGAATACATGTCGATAAGGTAATCGCACATACAGCCTGTAGAAGAAAGTCCACGCTTCATAAGGTAGGCATGTGCTTGCAACCCTTCAGGAAGATGTGCTTTCTTTCCACAAGAACTCAAGATAAGACATGCAGTTGGGTAGTCAAGCACCCCACCAGAACGTTGGATTACATGAAAAAGATTAAGTATTCCAAGATGATCACCAAGTTCAGCAAACTCTTGAAACAGCGTACCCCAAGAAATTTCACTATTTGAGAGTGACAAGCACAAGCGAAGGGCCTGGTTGAACTGTCCTTCTCTTAAGTAAAAGCTAATCAGGCTTCTCAGAACAGAATCACTGGTTCCATAACCATTTCTGATCGAGTTGCTATGGATTTCCATTCCACTTACAACATCCCCAAGAGCCATGCATGCTGTAAGTACAGATGTGTATGTAAATTCATTAGGTTGTACATGCTCCAACTGCATTGTCCGAAACAAATGGATCGCTCTTTCAAACTGACCGTTCAAACAGCTGCCTGATATTATAGCGGACCATGCAACTGTGCAAGGATCCTTAGTTCTCGAGAATAGAATATGTGCTTCCTCCAAAGAACCGCATTTAGCATACATGTCAACCAATGAACTGATCACAAAAGGATCCGGATTCACATCAAACTTTAATACGCAGGCATGTAGCATCCGTCCTGCAGCCAAATCAAGATCAGAAGCACATGACTTCAAACTGCTGGCCACAATGAACTGATCCAGCTTTCCCTGTACCGATAAATAGTACTTAAGCATTCTCAAAGGTAACATAGACCGGCTCTTGCGCAGAGTGGCCCAATTGACATACATATCCATGAGAGCACTCATGACATACTTATCCGAGTCCAAACCAGCCCTAATGAGGTAACCATGAATTTCCCTGCCATAATCAAAAGCACATCTTCTAGTAATAACATGCAAAATACTGCCCAGTGTATACTCATCGCATTCTGCGCATTTGTACATCAGATCCCGGAAATGAACCAAAGCCTCCTCATCACACAGGTTGTCCGCATAGCATTGGATGACAATATTCCAAGAAACCAAGTCCTTCGCATTCATCTCATCAAACACTTTCTGCATCAGCTGCAATTCCCTGCACCTACCATAGAACTCGATCAGGCAGTTCTCCAAGAATTCACTGGGAACGAATCCTGACTTGATCATGTAGCAATGCAGCTGATATCCCAAACGGACATGGCCCAAGCTGGAAGCTGCTCGGAGTGCAACAGAGAGAGTGTACGCATCACATGAAACGCCACCATGGATCATTTCCAGGAACAGCATTAGCGCCTGAGTGTCGCAGCCGTTTTCAGTGTAGGCGCTGAGCATTGAAGTCCAAGAAACCGAATCCGGCGCGGCAATACCACTGAACACCTTCTCGGCGCAACCCAACGACCGGCAGCTCGCGTACATCGTGACGAGGCCGTTCGCCACGAAGAGGTCGGCCCCGACGTACCCCATCTTGGCTGCGGCGGCGTGGACCTGCCTTCCGACGCCGAGGCTCCCGGCGGCTGCGCAGGCGCGCAGCGCGACGGAGAAGACGAACGCGTCGGGCCTCAGCGGCCACTCCACCATGCGGAGCAGCAGGTCCAGCGCCTCGGAGGCCGGCCCGTGCGTGGCATACCCTGACATGAGCACGGTCCAGGCGACGAGCGACCTGTCCCGCGGCAGCATTGCGTCGAACGCCTGACGCGCGGGCTGCATGCGGCCGGCGCGCGCGTGCGCGCGCATGAGCAAGAGCTGCGGGGCGGCATCTGGTACAGTTTCCGCGGATCTGTGGGGGACGGCGTGTGCCACGCCTACGCAGACGCGAGAAGAGCGCGAGAGCGAGAAGGGAGGAGGAGGAGGAAGCGCCATTGGAGGCTGCTCTGCCTCTGCGACGAGAGACGAAAGATTCGAATGGAGTGGCCAGGAAAAAGGGTGGGGATAAGGTGGAGATGGGCCTAACTATGGGCCTCTCGGGCTTACATTTGAGCCCATCAAATGCTAGGCTGTATAGGAATAAGTTAACTTTAGGTCCCTCATATTGACGACGAGTTTGAATCACATCCCTAAACCTCAAAACCGGGTACAACACATCCCCACCTTTTAAAACCGGTGTAAATATAGTCCTAAGGCAGTATTGAAAGCAGTTTTGGATGACGTGGCGATGACGTGGCACCACAAGAAAAATAAAAAATCATGTGGGTCCCACATGTAAGTGAAACAACCATCTTCTTTTTATCCCCTCTCTCACTCTGTCAAGTGGTGGCGGCGCATCGCCATCACCGGAACAAGGGGCTGGTTCACCGCGGCGGTGGAGCCGCGAGGGAGGATCTAGAGTGTAACAAGTGGGGGGCCTTAGGCCCCACTTAATTTTGCAGCGAGTGGGGGCAAATGCCCCCTTGGCACTTTTTACTTCCTTAGTCTACCTAAGCGATAGATCTTTGATATCCACTCATGCTATTTTCTGCCTCCGCCCTACGTGGAGGACGTTGTCGGTGGCTGATAGGCGGAAAACGAATGGCGACAATAACGACGCATAGCATAAGCGCGGAGGATGCACACTCTGTGGATACTGCTCGGCTTCAATGTCGGACTGTTCAGTGTCATCGTCCTCGTCATGTTGCTGCTCTCTTGGGGCGAGCTCCTCATCCACGTCGGATCCACGTCCCCATCTCGTTCAGCATCTTCACCGCCCCCTAAGCATCATTGTAAGCAGAGCGAATTAATGTGTCTTGATCTTGCTAATTAGTGACTCGATCATCAACAAGCTGACATGTTTTTGGTTGGTGTTTTGCAGTGGCTAGTGATCCAGACGATGAGCGTGGAGTTCAGGCCATTCTCGTTGTCCTTTTTCCTGCTGCTCAACGCGGCTATCTGGTTCGCGTATGGCGCTTCCCAATGTGCTGGGTTTCGTGTTCGGCGTGGTGTTGATGGCGTTTACATGGTGTACCGGAGCAAGAAGCCACCGTCGGCGGTGGCAATGTCAGTACCTTTGTGCTAAAATATAGTTACTTAATTACCTTTCTTGTTTAAATTTTAGGACAGAGGGAAGTAAGCAAATAATACATCACATCCTCATATTGGAATAGGGTAATATAATTTTGAGAGGTTTTACGGTGTTTGCACTTTTTTAAGGTAAAATTCCAACGCTCCACAATAAAAGGCACCACTTAAAAAGTATTTAAACACTGGCACAAGTACTTAGGTAGTAAGGGTAAAAAGATATTTTTCTATTAGATAGAGAAGGGTATAATTATCTCAAGTATTAGTTATAGGCACATAGGTACCGCATCGGTACTGGTAGTTATCATCTCCGGTACGTTATTTATGTGTTATTTTTTCGATTTACATTTTTTTCTTAAGAACAGATTCACCCGGTAATCATCCATTACGTTAGTTACATGTTTTATAGAATTCACTAATTAACAAAATTTTATATGTCTTAGGGAATTAAATAACTTATTTTATAATGTGATGCATACACCTAGATTTTAATATTGACCCGAAAATAACCATCTCCCTGATTCACCTCTCATCTGATAATATGAAAACCACCCCTTGATTGCATGTCCATTTAACGGGCATATATGTGCATGCATGCAGTCCACGGATTGCATACCATTTTAGAAGGCCGGCAATTGCCGCAACATCCGCACCACATGCTAAATATCCAGAGATATGTTTGTCTTTGCCTCCTATAGTTTTTCTTTTTATCAGAGCTATAGATTGCACAAATGCTCAACCATGATGACCATTCTTTTATCAGAGCTGTAGATTGCACAAATGCTCAACCATGATGACCATTCTTTTATCAGAGCTGTAGATTGCACAAATGCTCAACCATGATGACCGTGTCTCCTTGCGAGTGCACCTATTCAAACCCTCAAAGAAAAATGGGAAAGGAGAACTCAGTCGTCTTTTATATGAATGAAATTATGAGCTATGTAAATCACTAATCAATGGCGTAAATGTAATCTTAGCAGATTCGTTTCGCCTTTCCATTGACCGGTCGACCTCGTCTCCGCTTCAATCCTCAACCATGTTGGCAGTTTTCCCTCTGGTTTTTTTTCTAGTGAACCAATTCATAAGTTTCAAATCTAGTAAGAACGAAGCGATGCGAGAGAAGTGAAAGAAGATACAACCTTTTTTTTCGTGTAGATCTAATCGATGCCTAACTAGATTTACATTTTCTCTAACGTACAGTACCGATCATTGGAGCAAGGTATTCAATTCGGCGATAATGGCAATATTTCACTAGTTAATTACTCCACTGCCATTGGTTACGATAATTTTTATTCCATACCTTACCATTCTCTTGATCAATAGTCCACATTACTCCACCTCTCAATATCTCTAAGCACCTTGCAAACACCGTAAAATCTCTATATAATTTTATTTTGATTTTCTAGGGAGCAAATCTCCACCAAAAGAACTTATTAGACGCTCATCGTCTGACCGACTTGAAACAGGTGAAATTCTATGTAGCATACATAGAATTTACCATTTTTGTTGCCGCGAGACCGTTTTGACTTTCTGAATCAATACATAGGATTTCTCCCTAATAATATGTTATTGGTTTAACAATGTTGCATGGTTGTATCAATAGTTTCAGGTTCTTGTGAGGATTAAAACACTAGTGTCCTTTCCTGTCAGAACAAAAAAAACGTGCAACAGCAAATCTGTTAACGAATGAAAAGGACGACATAGCATTTCGGAAGATGAAACAAACCTATAGAGGATCGAGCAACAATCATGTGAGGAATTCGACTGCGTATATTTCGAAACCATGCGGATCGGACTGGATTTATTCATAATTCGGATTTCAACTGCTACACTGGCCGGCAACAGATAACCATATTGCAACACTGCTATGATGCAGATCACACAAGCTAAGACTGCACTCCCCGTTTACTAGAGGCTAAATGCAAAGAGAGTAAATCAATCGCTTGGAGTTCAATTTCCAGATGTCAATGCAAGCATTATGTGTGATCATCAAGCATCAGCCTTGGCCGGAGCTGCTTCTGGAGCAGCAGGAGCAGGAGGAGCAGCAGCAGCAGCGATGGCAGGTGCTTCTGCCGCGGTGGTGGTGGGTGGAGCAGCTTCAGCTTCAGCTTCAGCTTCTGCTGTTGCCGGAGCAGGAGCAGGAGCAGCTGCAGCTGCAGAATCCGAAGCGGCTTCTGCAGCCTCCCAGAAGGAGGTCTTCTTCCCTGTCTTTGAGACCGTCTGGAAAACGTCTTCTGGCTTGACATTGCCCTTCACCGTCACCTTCTGCTGCTCCATGTCTATGTCAAAGGTCTCCACGCCTGGTTCCATGAGATATATCGAGCATAAGCAATTGTGATCGTTGGACAATTTACACTATATGGTATTCTGATTTAGTTCAGCAATTAGATGTCTGGATTTCCCGGCTACGGATTAATGATTGATCAGTTTCTTCACCTCAAGTTGACCATTGCGGCCAGCTAGCCGTTGCTGACCACACGTCAGTTTCGTTGTTGTTAAACAGATTTAGATCAAACAGTTTTCATATATCACTAATAAATAAATAAAGGCATTCTTAGTCTTGGAACAGAAAAACAGTTTCAGCTCAGAGAAATTAGTCACCTTCCATTTTTGTGAGAACTCTCCTTACGGCTCCAGCACAACCTTGGCATGACATACCGACCTTGAGGACAACAGTCTGCATATCATATGAGATTGAACATTTTTATTATCTTGTATTCTGACATTGCCGTTTAGCAGACCAACAAGCATCAGTTTTCTATCTAACAAGGGGACTCATGGCCAAAATTCAGCAAAATTCTCTGTATCTAACAAGAACCTAACTTCAGCAACCTCATGGCCTACAGCCTACTTCTTTGTATCTGAAACTCATCCAGAAAAACAAACAAAAAAAAAGAAGCAAAACGAGAAATTTCATCCATTCCTCCTACTCCATCCTACTGACTGCATCTATGCAATCTGAGAAGGCGTGGAAGGAGATTGTTACCTCAGCGGCCATGGTTCACGGCAGTAGGAACAAGAAGCAGCAGCAGCAAAAAGAACAGGACTCGAATTCGGGAGATAACTTGGGGTAGCTTCATGGATCGGAGGACCCTTAAATAGACAAGATGATGCGTAGCGAGGAAGCAGAAGACGGTGACCGGTGCCCGGTGGGTGGACGTGCACCAAACACGCATAAAGCCCCGGAGAAAAGCCACCCCCACCCCCATCCTCCTCACAAACGGATCGATGTGAGGTTTTCTCTTTCTGTAGATGCCCTGATCTGGGCTAAACTAAAGCCATCCTGCTTTGGTTGAGGCTGGGTAGTGTGTAGTACAACTAGTACACGAAGTACAACACATCTTTCTTCTCCCATTGTGTAGTACAGATGTACAATTTCTGCTTGTAATCAGTTTGCAACAAATAAGATCACCTCCCGCTTGCCCAAAAAAGTTGCGAGATTCTCAAGTTTTTGGAGTGCTTATCGCTTTGCCCATTTGCTGCTGCTGCTACTGACTTTTTTGGTATCCGATATTCTCATATTCTGATCAGACACACCTTACCAGTTATTTCACCCCATGTCACCAGGTTTTCCTCTTTCATGCTTTTCCTCTTTTGATTAATTACAGTTTTTCACCTCATGTTCGTTTCATCTGTTTGAGCTTATTTGTTTATTTATTTCATCCTGTTGTGGTAACGTTGTCAGAGCATGGCAAAGCATGGGTTTTTGGTTGATTGATTTTAGTGATGATCACAGAAAAATATCCTGGGTTCTCGAAGTCATATGGGTTGAAATATACAGTCGTCTCCAAGCTGGAGTTTGGCATCCCATGTTCTCCTTTTTGTCACTTGCATCACCAGTTCATTTAATTGCATCTAGCGAGTTCTGTTAATTGCACTGCACATTTTAAGGATATATTCACATGCTGCCAACTGCCTAAGCAGGCTGAGAATCAGAGCGCGCTGGATTTTGTGGTGCCTAGGCCAAGAGGAATTGGGACCCAGCTGGTTTTAGGCTAGTTGATCGGCCGATTTGTCTGGGAGAAGCAATCATGCGAGAGCATTTCGCCGGTGCTAACGGTATCAGCACTAGCATCGGGCTTACGTAGCCGAATTGCACTCAAATAAATTAATCTTAGAAAGAATTAAGATGCGCATGTAGCCATGATAGCATATGCCAAGTTGCCAACAAGTGAGAAGTAACTTAACGGTTTAGGTTCTTCGCGGCGGAACCTATTTATACGGATTTAGATTTTAACATAAATATTTATATTTACATCTGATTATTTTTTAATGTAGACGACGTACCTATCAACAATAATATATGATGTGTTTGCGGTGACTTCGTGAATTTTATATGCTCAGTTTTGAAGGTGCTCATATGAATAGTGAATATTTATAGGGGTGAGTGGGTGCGTATTTATATAAGTATTTTTACGTATGTATATATTTTCAAAAAAGAAAATGACAGTATATGTCGGTATAATTTTGCTATATATTTATCAATAAATTTTCTTCTGAAAATTTGACTGATATAATTACAGTACAATCGTAATATAATTAATTACATGTAACTACAATATTACTTATATGTAACTTTCATATAATTTTAAACCGTTATGTTTGTTTCAAGATTTATGCATGTGAGAAAGAAAAAAAGTCACAACGCGCACACATGTGAGAGGATTCGTTCCCACGACTTCCGTTTCACCAAAATAGCATGTCACGGAGAGATTTTTGAAAGTTGCATTATAGTTACATGCAAATTACAGGGTAATTACATCACGATTGTACTATAATTACATCTATCAAATTTTTGAAAGAAAATTTGTCAACAAATATATAGGTGATCCTTATCGGTATATAAAATTTTTGAGCTACTGTCTTTGGGCCCATGTATACCCTTTTGTCTAACTGAGATTACCTTTGTTATCGAGATTTTGCATGTTGCAATAAGTTCATATTAAGTCCCTTAATTTGTTTACCGAGTCTAAAACTCGTGCCTGAACCGAAATACCAGCTATATCCTATCTCCAACTCACAGTACCGTGTCAACTTTGGTCTCTCAGTAGTATAGTGACTGGTTTTTGGCTGACGTGATGAGTAGTATCCACGTGAGCCTCACAATCGACTGCCAATTCTCAAGCGTTGGAGCAGGGTGGCTAGCAAGGGGAGGGGGGGGGGTGGGGGGAGGGGATGCGGCGGTCCGCAGCAGCTAGAGGAGACTCGACAAGAGGGGATCTGGTGATGGTTGGGTCTAGCAGTGAATGAAGGCAACGATGCGTCGACGATGACCATGAGCCCATCGAGCTCGAGGTTGACAGCACTGGCACGCGTGGGGATGGGAATGGAGGGGGCGTGGGTAGGGATACAAGTGAGCCAACCCGCGAACCCGCTTATATGTAAAATTAGTGAGTAACCCGCGGGTTACCTACTAATTTGGCCTATAAATGAGTTTATGGGTTGTTTCATTTGCACCTCTATGACGCGGCAAGCAGAGTCATAACGCGAAAACCTGTGGATTACTTTTTATTTAACATATAAGTAGGTTTGCCGGTCGGTCCGCTTGCATCCCAAGGCGTGGGGCAAAGCATGCGTGCCTCGATCTGCACCGCCGGAGCCGTCTCGGGCTCGATCTGCTCAACTAGCTTCGTTTTGCCTCGATCCTTCTTGCTTGCATCACCTAGGCCTAGTTCTATCGCCCCCGTCGCTAGTCCTTGGTCCACTTTGTTGGCTATAGCAAATTAGCAATGATTGATGTGATCTGTTGGAGCTAACTTCAGCACGTTGTGACTGTTTTTTCAGATTTTCTTTTGATTTTTCAGTCTCAACTATCGATGTGTTTATCTGAATATTGATGAATGAAAACAGCGCACTGGTGGAAAAACCATCTTTGGTCGGTCCACCAAATTCCATAATAATCTCGGTTCCATTAAAAATTGGGACTAAAAACGATTTTTAGTCCCGGTTAAAAAAATTTTGATCTTTAGTACCAATTGGTAACACCAACCGGGACTAAAGATCATTTTTAGTTCCGGTTCAAAAAGTTGTCGGGTCGAATTTAGACCCTAATTATCTTTAGTCCCGGTTGGTATAAACCACCCGCGCGCGCCAGAGTCTCGATCTTATCGATCCATTCCCCTTCCTCTCTCTCTTTACTCCCTATGCTCTCATAAACAGCAAGTCCTCAGATCGGATCTGGCATTTTGGCTGGCAAGTCTTCTCCTCTCCCCTTCCTCCCCTTCCCCTTCCCCTCTCCTCCCCCTCCCCACCTCCTCCTCCTCCTCCTCCTCCTCCTCTACCAGAGTAAGTCCAGGGGGCCGAGCCCGGGCGGCGGCGGCTGGCGGCTGGCCGCGGGCGGCAGGGAGCGTAGCAGTGGCGGCCGGCGGTGCCCTCTCCTCTGCCGGAGGAGGGAGGCGGCAACGAAAGCACAATTTTCTTTTTTTTTTCTGAATTTGTGATACATTTGGATCTAAGAACTTGTGATGTTTGGATCTGTGATGTATATGATGTGTGATCTATTTGATGTTTGATCTGTGATGTATTTCTTTAAGAATTTGATTTGTATTTTTTTGAGAATTTGTGATGTGAATGATTCATTGACTTGGGATGATACTTTGATTTTGGGATATTTGGGGAGATTTGGGAAGGAGCAACTCTTTGGAAAGAAACAATGAGAATATAAGAAAAGAAAAAAATGGTGACCAACCGGGACTGTGCTACTATCTAACACCAACCGAGACTAAAGATGTATTTTTAGTCTCGGTTATTTCAACCGAGACTAAAGATAGTGATCTTTAGTCCCGGATTCATAGTCCCGGTGGAAAACCGGGACTACAAAGGGATTACCAACCGGGACTACAAACCATCTCTCCACCAGTGGCGGAAGCAACAACCGGCGAGGAGCCGAGGATCCACTGCCAACCACCGCCACCCCGTCGGCTGCCACCTTTCTCCTTCGCGAGCTCCGCCACTGATGCTGTGCCGGCCCCAAAGCCAGAAACATGTTGGCGGCGCCCCGATCGCCTTCCTCCGAGCATCGCTCCACCACCGAGCTGCCACCATAGGACTGAACTGATAGGAGAGAGTGAAGAGATTTCGCTGGATGGGGGCAGACCATCGCAGCCCCCTCCTCACCAGTTAGCAAACACCCTGCTCCAACACTTGAGAATCTGAGAGATGGGAAAGAGAGGGAAGAGGGAGAAGAGTTGGCACTTGATATGTGGATCTATATGGGTCCCACTCGCAACGTCATAAAAAACTGGTCACTATATTACTGAGGGGCCAAATTTGACATGGTATTGTGAGTTAGGGATGGGTTATACTCCCTCCATCCCAAAATATTTGGCGCCGTTGACTTTTTTTAAAAAAATTGACCGTTCGTCTTATTCAAAAAATTTAAGTAACTATTAATTCTTTTCCTATCATTTGATTTATTGTTAAATATACTTTTAGGTATACATATAGTTTTACACGTTTCACAAAAGTTTTTAAATAAGATGAACGGTCAAACATGTTTAAAAAAGTCAATGACCTCAAACATTTAGGGAAGGAGGGAGTAAGTGGTATTTCGTTTCCAGAACAAATTTTAAGCTTGGCGACAAATGGAAGGACAACAAGTGAACTTATTCCTTGCATGTTTGCTAGCCCGAAGGAATGTGATTTGCATCTTGTCCGGGCTTTCCATTTTGGCCCAGATAGTTGGAAGCCCATTGGCGCAAACGACCCAATCACAGCAAACCGGAGATACTGGACCTGTGGCAGGGGACCTCCTCCTCAGTAGGAATAAGTTCATTTTGACTCCCTTAAAAAGTGACCCGAATCTAAGGAAAAAGTACACCGAAAGTCCCTCAACTTGTCAGCGAGATAAAAAACATCCTCGAACTGTAAAACTAGACACACGAGGTCCCTTAACTATACAAAACCGGTCACCCGAGGTCCCTCGGCGGTTTTCATCCCGGTTTTGTCCTACGTGGCGCTTTGACCACGGTCGTCGGTGGCTGAGTCAGCGTGGACCCACGTGGGCCCCACGTGTCAGCCTCTTCTCCCCTCCTCTTCACCTCTCCTACCCCTCTCTCTCTCTCTCTCTCCTCCACGGGCGGCAGCCGGCGGGCGCAGGCAGCGGAGCAGCGCGCGGGTGGGCAGAGGCGGAGGGGCAGCAGCTGCACGGGCGGCGACCGGCGGGGGACGTAGCCGCCATCGAAGCGGCACTTGCTGGAGGAGCTCGGGCGGCACTAGCGTCGGCCTTGCCCGTTGCCGTGTCGTCGACTGGATCTCCTCTCCCGCCTCGCGCCAGATGGCCTCGTCTGGCTCTCCATTGAAGAGGATGCGGCGAGGAGGGAGTCGGCAGAGGGGGAGGACAGGAGGATGCGGCGGCACTCGATCTCTCCGCGGCGGAGAGCGCGGACGGGAGGATGCGGCCGGTGGAGGCGGCGTGAGAGCGAAGCGGAGGCGATGGCGGCAGGCTACGCCCCATGCGGCCGCGGCGCACCTCGGCGCCGAGCCGCTGCAGCTCGAGGTGCCCGGCTCCATGCTGGAGCACGGCGCGGATGTTGCTCACCGTGAACACGATCTCGGTGACCTCCCGCCGGAGCAGCTTCCCGGTGCTCCCCGCCATCTCCGTGAGCATCTTATCACTTGCAGCGATCGCTTCACGGCCTTAGCGCACGTCGGCGTGATCACGACTGATCCGGCGCCGATGGCGGAGAAGTCGATGATATTGTCGAGGAGGCGTATGTTGAGTATATATATTTCAGATTCAAGACAGATAGCCGCTTGAAACCTTCGAACATTTGAGGCAACGGTCTCATTTCCTCACAAAGCTCTGTCATTTTTGAAACAGTGGGGACCCTTATTGCCGCTGCAGCTGAGGGACGAGATGGAGAAGGCCAGAGGATCACTGCTTGCCAGTGTCCGCGGGACAGGAGGTTCAAGCAGCTAGGAGTTTTTCAGTGATTTATTTTTCCTGCTTCTTCTGTCTGTCTACTGGGTGTGTGTTTTGCTGCTGCGTCAACATCTCATGCTTCTGCCTTTGTCTTTGTTTCTGCGCTACTTGTAAGCTGGAATCCCCAGCAGTTACATTGTAACGCTCCGCTTCTCGTGAGACGTTAAAAACTAATTCGGTAAAATCCTAATTGCGAAAATTTTGTTCTTTGTGTGCGAGTCTAAGTCGTGCCATGGATCTCAATTCAAATCCCGTTGTTCCCTCTCATCGAAATCAAAATCCTCCGCCTCAAATTTCCTCTTCCAATTCAAGTCTCCGAAATCTAATTCCGAAAGTCAATCCCTTCCTTTGAATCCTCGCCAAATACATTTCCGAATCCCAAAATATCCAAACTCCCGTTTTGTTTCCTTCCTTGACTCCTTGAACCCTTGTGTACAAAGTATCAAATTTAGATTCAAAACCCAAACTCCAAATCTCTCCAAATCAAAATCTTTCAGCAAAAGTCTATTTTGCCTCCCTTGTCGATGGGCTGATCCCTCTCTCCCGGCCCTTCCCTTCCTCTCGGCCCAGCTCTCTCGCGCGTGCGTCGCACGTGTTCGGGAGCGAGAGACAGCGCCGTCTCCTTTTTCTCTCTCTCTCGGCGTCGCTTCCCGCCGACGCCGCCCCAAAATTCCGGCCGTGTCGCCGTTTCCCGTGCGCTCGCGCATGGCCGACCGGCAAGGACGCCGCTCTCACCGCCTTCGCCCTTCCCGTGCGGGTTTGCGCGTGGCCAACGCCCCGGTCGCCGCTGCGTCAAACCTTGGCGCCGCCTGCATCGTGCCCTGCCGCTCCGCCGCTCCACGCCGCTAGCTTCCAAGGCCGAGAGAGGCAGCCCCTGTCTCACTCCCCTCTCCCTCCTCCTTTTCCCGTTTCAGCAAGGGTCAAGCCCTCCTTTCCCTCTTCCTTTCCCCTTTTTCCCGACCACCGCCGAGGTCATCCATGGTCCCAGCCGCTCGCGGCCAAAGCGCGGACGCTGGTCGTGCGACTGCACCAGCTCACCGCCAGCTCGCTCCTCCTTGACCGCCAATGTCGGTTCTTCCTCCCTAAACCGACATTGCCATCTATTAAACCGAGCCGCCCCATCTCCCTCTCGTTCATTCCCTCGCCACCACCGTGCCCTTGCCGCCTTGCTACCGCCGTCCTCGCCTCCCTCCTCCATCGCGCGTGCTGGTGAAGCCGGCGTGCGCGCGAGGAGCTGACGCGGGACTCCAGGCGCCGTCTCCTTCCCCTTCCCCAGCCCGAGGCCGGAGAGCTCGCTCCCGCGTCGTCGGCCACTCGTCACAGCGCCCGTCTCGGCTCGGTAGTGCATCTCCCGTTCTCCCTCCTCGCTCCCTCTCCTCTCCTTAGCTCTGGGCAGTAGTGCGAGTAGCCTTCCAGTAGCAAGCTGGCGCCGCCCCGACCGCCGCCGCTGCTCGCCGTAGGCTCGCCGCCGTCGCCGCCCAAACTCGGTAGTAGCCGCTCATCGCCGGCCTTCCTCGGTGTAGCTCCACCCAATCCGACTCTAGAAATGAACTCTGGAGGTCGCGTAGATGCTCAAGTCCCTAGGAATCGACCTCTCGTCGCCCCGCCGCGATTTCCCCTTTTGATCGCCGCCGGCCGCCACCGTCGAAATCTGTCGCCATTGAATCCCCGCGGCGAATCCGAGCTAGAGGCTCACTCCCTCTTATCCTAGTCATCATTCCGGTGTACTCCCTCCCTCTCGAATCGTCGGGTTGTGCTCCCGGTGAAGCCGCCGCCGTCCGCCGTCCGTATCAGCCGGCCTCCTTCTTCCTCCTCTCGCCGGCTCGCGTGGCTGCCACGAAGGCGCCACGTCGGCGCCACATCGGCCGCGACCGGGTCAAACACCTAGTCAGCCGCCCCCACCGCCCTTTCTTCTGTGCGTGCGGTCCACGGAGAGCCCTTAGGCTGCGCATGGGCCCTCCACCTCTTGGTCCACCCGCGTGCCGCGCCGTGAGCCGCGTCCGCAAAACCCTAGCGCCCCGCGCCGCATGAACCCTTCCCCCGTGCGCCGAGTCGCTGACTCGTGGGCCCGTCCCGGGACCCGGCACGATGGATCCGGTCCACCCGGACCCATCCCCCCTCTCTCCTCCCGTGTGCCCCGCTCGCTTGGGCCACGCCTTGCCCGGCCATGGGCCGCCTCCTCGCGCCCGCGCCCGGCCCATTGGCTCGGCCGTGCTGCGCTTATCCCTTGGGCCGTACCCGAGCCGCCCAAGGAAGTCTAAATCCCATCCCTCCTTCCTTTTCTTATCCAAAGGATTAATAAATCCTTTTCCCTTTTTCATAAATCAATTCCTTATTCCTAAAATTCCATAAATCATTTCCTTTGGTCCCGCGCGTCTGTGACTGTCAATAATATTCTTGAGAATATTATTTCTATAAATTCCATAAACCATTCCTCTTATTCCATAAATTCCAAATAAACTTCCAAAATTCATATCTCCCGATCTGTAACTCCGATTGACTCCGTTACACTTCCAGTAATTCTCTAAAATTGAGATCTATCTAATGGCACTACTAATTAGTCTAAATAGGATCTTTCTTTTGGTCTTTTGTTTAGGTTTTCGATTGTTTGCGTATAGTTGTGGTTACCGGATTTTTGTCGATCGGGGGATTTCTCGAAGATTCGTGAAGACTTTGAGCAAGGCAAGTCACCATTTGACCAATTGCTCCTATAATTGGAAAATCATTATTATTTTGTTTGCAACTTGCATTAGTAGAATCACACACTTAACATGCTTGGCCTCGGTTTGCGTGCCAAACCGACGGACCTACCCAGTAGTCGCACTAATTCCTGTAGGTCGTATTACCCTGATTCCTTGTCGCTCCACTCTTGTGGTACTTCGGTATCCGTGCTCTCTGAGCGCTTATACCAACTATTCCACATACACCATTGTTTGTCGATAACTTGGGGAATGGGTTTGAGAAGCCTTGAAAACCCGACATGTGGTGTCGGCGTGTTTGAAAATAAAATAAATTGTGAAAACTCGCGATGCGGGGGTTATGCCTGTGTGGCACTGTCCCGTATTCGCATATAAGGACCGATTCCTGTGGGAAATTCATCCGAGCATATAACAAGTGCGACCACACGGGTGCAATGGGACGCCCCTGGCTAAGTAATTAGCTAATCGAGAGAGCCATGATGCCAAGAGACATGTGGATTCAACGGGGTGGTGTCGGGGAGAACCCCCGGGCTTCCTGGCACAGTATGGTTTGGGACCTAATCTGGTGTTGGTCTGGGACCCCTCTCGTTGGCATATGGTAAACCTGTGTTGGCTTTCGAAATGCCTTGTCATGAAAGCCTTAGGGTCTCCCGACGTGGCTGATCTCACGGGCTGGGTGATCCGGGTTAGTAATGTCGTGTGGGTAAAGTGTACCCCCTCTGCAGAGGTTAACTAACTGTTCGAACAACTGTGCCCACGGTCATGGGCGGATGTGAGGTGTTTCCTGTAGCGTAGATTTGTTTGCCTGTGCTTTGTGAAAAGTTGTTGTGGTGTGAGAATCGTTACCAGAATCAGCCTATGTGGCAGATGGATGACCTGAGTGGTCAAGAAACGAATCTGTGTGATTCGGGATGTCTACGGGCATCATAGACTAGGCTTCCCGAGTGGAAGCGGATTGCTGTGCTGCTGGGCAGCTGGACTCTGGGAGTCCGAGAAAATGAAAAAGGCTCTGGGAGCCGATTAATCAAGTGGAATGGCTCTGGGAGCCGAGAAGTAATGATCTGACCCGGGAGGTCAGTACATTACCAAATGAGCTGTTGAAAAACATCTCTTAAAGTCGAATCGAGACGCAAGTCTCTTTTCGGCCCAAACTTAGAAAGAAATAAATCACTTAGTGATTTCAAAATGATTTCAAAATAAAAGATTTGCAAAACAACCTAGCCTCTCTTCCAAGCTTGCATTAAACACCTAAATTCCCGTGACTTGCTGAGTACGAAAGTACTCACCCTTGCTCTATATAAATATATATAGTTCCTCCGCCCGGAAGTTGAAGATGAAGTGAAGTAAAGAATAGGGTTTCGTCTTGGTTCCCAGCCGTCGCTTGTGGTGTTGAGTGTTAGTTCGTTGGTTCCGCTGCTGCTGCTGTTGTTGGTGTTTCCTCGTTCGCGTCGTCGGTTGCATTCTCGGGCTGTTTTGAGCTGCAACCTAAGTTAAGGTAATTAAGTCCTCTATTTATTTTAAGGATTTGCAATGATTCATATTTGTCACTGTGGGTACCAGCACTATGTCCTGGGACTGGTACTGAGATCGCGGTTTCGTAGGAAGTGGTTCGCGCCGTTTTTCCTACGACACGCTCCTATCAGGTGCCGTTGTACGGCGGTGCCGGATTGGGGTGTGACATACATGTACTCTTATGCTTTTCTAATGAAAGCTGGGCCTTGGCCTTTCATCAAAAAAAAAATTTGAGGCAACGCAACCATACATCTTTTCATAACAAGTGTTTCTATTTCAGTTAGGCTGACAAAAGCTTTGCATCATATAGTTTTTACTCCTGTCTGCAACTTTTGTTTTGTCGAGTGTAACATACACATTGGACAGGTTAGGTGTATGCAGATTCAGAACAATTAGCTGCTTAAAACCTTCAAACTCTCGAGGCAAGCTCATGATGCATCTTTCTATCTGTAGATATTCCAAATCACTGGTAGAGAAGAGGCACGATAGAATCTTATTATAATTCCCACGGGAGAACTCAATTGTGATGGAACTTGGTTTTTTCTTGACAGCATGTGCTCCACCTATCAAATACATTGCGTTGCCAATCTTGCTGCAGGTGTCGTGGTTGCGCGTCAGCTTCTTGATGATGAGGAGGCCTTGGAGGTTGCACTCCTCGTCGGCGACGTAGAGCAGCGACGACGCAGACTTGATATCGCCAGGGACGCCGGCGACACGGAGCGCGTTCCGCTTCTTAATTGCTGGCTAGCTTGGACACGACGAGCGCGGCGGACGCCCTGGCGGCGGCCTCGGCGGCGCCGTTCCAGGTGAGCATCTCCACCAGCCAGTCCACCGCCGCCGCCGACGTGCCGACCCGCCGGAGCGCGGCCTCGCCGAGCCGCGGGTTCGCCGTGACGTTGACGAAGATGACGAAGGGAGAGAAAAGGGGAAAGGGAGGAGAGGAGGCTGACGTGGACATCTGACATGTGGGGCCCACGTGGGACCTACGCTGACTTAGCCGCCACGTAGACCAAAACTGGGGTCAAAATCCCCGAAGGATCTCGGGTGACCGGTTTTGTATAGTTAAGGGATCTCACATATCTGGTTTTGCGGTTCGAGGACGTTTTTTATCCCGTTGATAAGTTGAGGGACCTTCGGTGTACTTTTTCCCGAATCTAATCCATGACCCTAAACCACAAAACCGGATATCTCGACCCTTAACTATTGAACCGGTGCAATTTGACTCCCTTGACGGTTTTGAAGGGCGGTTTTGCTGACGTGACACCTACGTGGCGGTACTGACCGGATCTTCTTTACACGTGGCGTTGACGTGACGCTTATGTGGCATTAGAATTAAAAAAAATTCATTTATCATTCACACATAGGATGACATGCGGGACCCACAGACCATGTGGGGCCCACATGTCATCCTCTCTCCTCCCCTTCTTCCTCCTCCCTCCCTTCTCTCATTCTCTCCCTAGCCTTTCTCTTCACCCCCGGAGCAGCAGTGGGGATGGCGGTGGCGTCCGGCGGTCGGGACGGTGGTTGGGAGACGGCGGAAGGGCGGCGGCGGGCAAGGAGAGACGGTGGCGAGCGGCGGAGACGCCGGGGAGCGAAGACGCCGGGGAGCGAAGAGTGGCGATGGCCGCCATGGATAGGGTGAGGTGGGGGATCTCCCCGACAACGTTCGCCACCGCCGCCGCCGCCGCCGCCGCCATCGCCATGGCGTGCAGGCCGGCGATGTACTCCGCCTCCGCCCTCGCGCCGCTGCGCCCCCGCCTCCTACCCCTTGTCTGCGTGGCTCGCCGCTCCCCCTCGTCTGCGCGGCTCGCCGGGATCCCTGCCACCGCGACCACATCGCCCCGCTCCTCGCGGTGAGCGCACCCACCTCCTCCCCCGCTTGCCGCCCAACTCCCTTGCCGCTCAAGGACGGCCTCGAAGAAGAAGACCACCTTGCAAGCGTAGATGGCTGCGATGACGCACATGAGCGCGACGGAAACGCACTAGCACCAGGTTCACCTTGGTAGTGACGTGAAGGAATCTGGTCGGCGCTGACGTCGCCACCGTCTTCCACAGGATCGCTTGGGTGCTCACGCCGAGGCAGATACCGAACGCCGACACCGGGAACCGGAGCAGAAACGGCCACGTTTTGTCCAACGGAAGCACCAGCTCCTCCGATGACTGATGCGACACAGCACACACCGTGAGCTCTCTCCAGTGTTCCAGCAAATCAAAGCACAGAGATCGATGTGTGGTTACAGAAGAATTAGCTCAAGAAACTTACCCGGAGTTTGTCCAGTTCGGGGCACTCCAGTGCGGCGAAGAAGCGATCAACCTGAGGCATGGACTTGGTGTGGTGGCTGCTGATGGCGTCGCAACCGTCCTCCTCCTCCTCGGGGAACTCCGGCCCGGCGCCAGCCAGATGGGCGAGCTGCCGCTCAAGCTTCCCGGACCACGTCTTGAACGAGTCGTAGCGCCTGTCCCGGGACATCATCCGGCCGCCGCGGTTCGATGTCGCGCGGCGTGCCGGCTTGCCGCCAGGGATCGGCTGCGACCGGAACGCGGCTTGTCCGGCTGCACGAACCTGACGTTATTGTTTCTTCCCTTGCCCTGCGCCGCCGTCCGTCGCCGCTTGCTCTGCCACCGCCGCGGCGGGCTTGCCTGCTGCCACGCACCATCAGCTGAAGGGGAAGAAGAAGGGGAGAGAAAGAGAGAGAGGAGAGAGAGAGGGAGGAGAAAGAAGGAAGGAGACAGGGGGGCCCAACGTCAGTGGGTCCGCATTTTCTTTTGTGTGAATGATTAATGGGTCCCACGCATATTTTTTTAATTCTAATGTCACTTAAGCACCACGTGTAAAGAAGACCCGGTTAATACCGTCACGTATACGCCACGTCAGCAAAACCGCTCTCTAAAACCGTGTAGGAAGTCAAATTACACCGGTTTTAATAGTTTAGGGGTCGAGATATCCGGTTTTGCGGTTTATGGTTTATGAATTAGATTCGGGTTACTTTTAAGGAGTCAAATGAACTTTTTCCTCCTCAGGACGATCCACTTTGCTGGCTTGGGAGTTACTATACTAGTTGGGACATCTTCATGCACATGCATAGTATGCGATAATAACATGATGATGTGGGGAGTTTACTGAAAGTCTAAATTTAAACTCCTTTTTGCATGATTAGTAATCGGGCATTCTCTGATCTCGATAACTATATTCAAACTATGGCTGCATTTGGTTATGCCAACTAGGATAGAATGCGTTTGATTGGTTTGGTGGATGGAACTGAACGGAGGATGATCGTTCGATTTTTTTTGTGTGTTTAGTTAAAAGGCGAGATAGATGAGCCGGTCAAAAAAGAGAATATTATCTCCATATACTAGGTGAAGAGGGAAAAAAATTGAAAATAATACCCTTTTTCACCGATTTTATAGAATATACATGTTTAGCATGACTTGGTAGAAGTATACCCATTGCCACGGATGAGTGTGCGAAGTCACGGCGAGTTCACACGGAACTCGTGATGTGCTCGTGATGTCATCACAGTTCGTGCAGTAAGTACGTGAATTCGTGTGGAGAGCCATTGCGCAACTTGTACCGAGCACTGCATGTCAACGAGATTTGAGAAAAGATCAATTACATGGCGTAGACTAATTTTGTCATAACAATTGAATCGAGCAGCCCCGTTCTGAATGGCAGCAACATTCTAGCCATTATCTAAGTTTCTACTACTATAATTCTATAAAATATTTTGGACTGAAGATTTGATCAGCGGTGATTCATTACAGGGCGATCGCGATCATCCAGAAATACCATGAGATTAAATTGTTCCTACAGTGACAGGCTCTGACTGCAGGATGGAAGATTGTAAGTACTGTACTAAACACGAACTAGAGCTACATACTTTACCCGTTTTTCCTCCTTATCTCTTGCTGTGTGTGGCGCCTGCTTTCCTCGAGGATAACTGACGCCGAGAAGAGCCATTTGCCGGATAGACCAAGTAGCATACGCCTGAACTCGTTGTGGCGATGCGTCGCACGCAGCAAATCAACCTTTCTTCAAGTTGACAAGTACCAGGGGCGAAGCTTGCACGGTTTTCTAAACCAACCAGGCGGTCAGAGGCCTGCATCGATGCGTTAGGACTGGACCATTGGGACGATGGCACGGCCTAGCAACCGTTGATTCGCAACCGAACGACGCTCGTAGCAGGGACGAGAACCCGCTGGGCGGTGCGGCGTGCGTGCAGAGCAAAAAGGCGGCAATCAGTCGGCAGGCGCAAGTGGGCTTGCAGCAAACCAAACGCCCGTCTGTCTTCGTCACCCCTGCCGCTGCCGCTGCCGCTGCCCAATCGCATCGCAGGTCGCAGCACGGAGCGGCCCGTCGCGCTCGGCGGTCGGGTCCCTTGTCCACGCACGCCTGCGCAGTTGCGCACGCAGGGCCGGTAGGCCGGCTTTAGCTGCGCTGCGCTGCGTCGCTCGATTTGTTTGTCGTACCGTTGTCGCGATCCCTTCCCGTTCCTTGAAACCAAAGCCAAATCGATCCCTCCCTCCCGTCTCCGCCTTTCGGCCGCCTCACGCCTCCCCTTTTTAACCCCTTCCCCGGCCGCCTCCCTCCGGCCCCTTGCCTCCACCCACGTCGTCGATCTCGTCCACTCCAATTACATCCATCCATCCGCTCTGCAACCTTCTCCGGTTGCTGCGAGCGAGAGCGAGAGCGATCGCTACAGCCGCCGGTGGCCAGCCATGGCTGAGGAGCAGAGGTGGCAGGAGGGCTGCCACCGCCTGTGCGCCAACAACTGCGGCTTCTTCGGTAGCCCCGCCACGCTCGACCTCTGCTCCAAGTGCTACCGCGACCGCCAAGGCCGGGAGAGTACTGCACCCGTCGTCGTCGCCGCCGCAGCCTCGGCCTGCCCGGCTACTCATCCTTCCTCGCCATCCTCGTCGTCTTGTCCGGCGTTCTTGCCTTCCTCCACTGCCGCCGAGGCTGGCGTCGTCGTCGCGGCGGTGGCGAAGGCGAGCAGGTGCGCGAGCTGTAGGAAGCGGGTGGGGCTTACGGGGTTCGCGTGCCGGTGCGGCGGCACGTTCTGCGGCGCACACCGGTACCCGGAGCGGCACGCGTGCGGCTTCGACTTCAAGGCCGCCGGCCGCGACGCCATCGCGCGCGCCAACCCGCTCATCAAGGGCGACAAGCTCAAGGACAAGATCTGATCCCTCCCCACCTGCCGTGCTCCCCGTCGCCGCCGGAAGAACGCGCGGTTGGATTCCAAATTAAATACGCTTATTATTATGTAAGCTACAGCCGGCCGGCGGTGAAATCGCCAGCCAGCCATGCATGCATGCGACTGAAATGAAAATGAGTTCATATCTCTGCTCCTTCTATTCAGAGCCGATTGCCCGATTGCCAAATGCCAACTCGAAATTGGAAATGAAATCGACTGCGAACGCGATGAACTCAGAATAGGTCAGGTAGATTAGATTACAGCGCACCGTGACCAAACCCGAACCGAACATTGGAAAATTTGATGTACGATTATACTACGAGATTAGTTTATGAAGGCAGCGGTAGTTTTCTTTGAGGGCGAACAAGTCGCAGGATTAGTTGGTCGATGACAACATTTCGATGGAAACAACGGGTGGCCGGTCACGCAAGCTACAAAGATGTTGGATTAAAAAAAGTTAAAATGAGAGCGCGTATGTCCACACACTTCACTCGCGTGTACCGTATACGTCATGACTAACAACTAACAAGCGCTGCGGGGGAAGAAACTGAGAGCGTGGATTTGTTAAATGGAATTCGGGCGCCTAATCAAGCGGAGTTTGTCAATTCTTTTGCTCCGCCGTGTACTTTGCCGGAAGTTACGTTTGCACGTACAGGGAGACCGTCAGTTTGTCAAGATGGTGGCCAAACTTCTCCTCTAGCTGTTCTTGTTTGTTTCGGAAGAAAGCAGCCTTTTTCTTTTGGACGGAAGAAAGCAGGCCTTTTGTTCGTTAGACGATGTAATGTTTACGTTGACAGTATTAAAGACCGCACGAGAGGAGAATCAAATATGGGTATACATGTGCTATGTTTACAAGCATCATGATTTTTCATGACGAAAACATAATAACATCCAAGTATTAAAATGAGTCGTCTCTGCCCTACGCTTCATTCAGATTTTAGGATAGATAAACGATTTTGCTATATATTTGTCGACAAATTTTCTCCCAAAAATTTGACAGATGTAATTACAGTACAATCGTAGTGTAATTACACTGTAACTATAGTGTAACTTGTATGTAACTTTCAAAAATCTCTACGTAATATGTTATTTCGGTAAAATAGAGGTTGTGGGAACAAATCCTTACACATATGTGTGTGCTGTGATTTTATTTTTCTTTCTCACCAAAACAAATCTTGTAATATATCTAAAGATTCAAAATTATATGAAACTTATATACAAGTTACACTGTAGTTACGTGCAAGTTATAGTGTAATTACATATAAGTTACAATGTAATTACACTACGATTGTACTATAATTACATCTGTCAAATTTTTAGGAGAAAATTTATTGACAAATGTATAGGTGGTCCCTAAATAAATAGGGACATGTCATGGGGCGTGGCTAATGGGTGGGTGACCCCCATGGCCCCATCCCCCATATACGCTCCTCTCTCCCATTCCTCCTCCCATTCTTCTCTTCCTACTACACCATAAATTTTAAAAAAATTAAAAAATACAAAGTTGAAAAAATTTATGTATAGAAATGCTATATATAAAAGTTATTTAAATTTAAATTCAAATTTGAAACGGTTATGTAAACTTTTGACTTATAAACTTTGGGTCTATAAACTAATATTTGAATTCAAATTCAAATTTAAAACGGGTATGTAAACTTTTGACATGTAAACTTTTGCCTTATAAACTTTTGGTCTATAAACTAATATTTGAATTCAAATTTAAATTTGAATCGGGTATGTAAACTTTTGACTTATAAACTTTGGGTCTATAAACTTTAGGTGTATAAACTTTAGATGTATAGAAATACGATATTAAAAATATTTGAATTCAAATTCAAATTTGAATCGGATATATAAACTTTTGACTTATAAACTTTGGGTCCCTAAACTTTAGATGTGTAAATTTGAGTTGTACAAACTTTAGGTGCATAAATTTACTAAAATAGAAAAGTAACGCAGTGCCAAAAAAGGAAACCACATGAAGGAGGGGGGGTGATCGCTAGGGGCGACCGATCGCCGTTAGCCTTTTCGCATGTCATGTATTGTCCTCTGATATGAGTCACTAAACCTAAATCTGTTGGTTATATGATCATATATCAACGTTATAAGCTTCAGCCTTCAGGACATGTCAATTCCTATAAGCACCAAACAATATGAAGCAACGCAAAACTTAACTTCTTCGAACCGCCTAACCAGCCAAGAGAGGGCTTCGCCCTCCTGCACTAATGGGCTTCTAAAATATACTATAAACTTAGTCAAACTTAAATTATTTTGACTTTGACCAAAGTCAAAACGTCTTATAACCTAAAACGGTGGGAGTAGAACTATTGGACCCCAGTCATGTTTGATTTTCTAGGATGATAGGCATAGGAGTAAAAGTCTATTTTATCTCTCTCATCTTTTGCCCTAGATTGAATCTCATCTCTCAACTATAAAACCGGGTATAACATCTTCCTCAGCTTCAAAAACCGATGCAAGTTATTAGCTCCTTCAGTCGTTTAGAAAGCGGTTTAGGATGAGTCAGTAGAAAAAACTTTAAAGAATAATAGTAGGACCTATATGTTATCCGTTCTCTCTCTCTCCTTCCCCCCTCTCTCTCTCTCTCTCTCTCGTTTTGCCGCCTTCACAGCCTCCGCCGACGGGCTCTCCGCTCCCTCCTCCAAAACGGCTCTTGAAAGCTCGCCTCCTCCCCGACGTGCTGTGTCACCATCGCTGTTGCCGCTGGCTTCCTAGAGCACGAAACATCAGGGGAGGATGTGGGTGGACAGAATGTGCATCGGGATGGCAGACAACATTGGGTCAGCGACGACGTATCGCCAACTCTCTCACCTCCCTCCTCCCCGCCCTTCTTCGTCGCCTCCCTCCTCTCTTCCTCCACCGCTGCAAACTGCCTTCCTCACTAGTTGTCACCGCCGCCGCCACCTATCTCCGCCTTACCACCTTCCTCAGCCGCAACCTCAAGGTCGACGGCCGGGAACGGAGACAGGTTGTTGCGAAAGTTGTTGAGGCGGAGCTCAGCCACACGCACGACATGCGCAGAAGGGGAAAGGAGGTAGCCAGAGGAGGAGTAGAAGCATGTGGGCAGAGACGGACAATGAGGACAAGGAGTTCGGCGATGGTGGTGCCGCACATGGATGAAAAGGTGGGCTCTCGGGCACCGCGCATGGAGGAGGGAGCAAAGCTCACGCATGGTCTATACCATCGTTGCTATGCCCAGCGCCCTCCAATACACATCCGCCACAGAGGATTCCATCTCACATCCACCTCTCGGTGCCCGCCATCCTCGACATCTCCATAGCTCGCTCTCTGGTTCCATCTCGCCATTGTTAGCCACATTTCCCAATCTCTGTTACGTTCCTCAAGGGTGGTAGCCACCATCTCTAACGATCCCCTTGCTAGCCACCACCGTGCCATCCACAGAGGAGGAGGACGAGACGGTAAGGGGCACTATGGAGCAGTAGTGGCAGCACCGAGCATTGGAGTAGTGTCGTTGCGTGCTTCCATGGCCACACTCTCTCGCACAAGATGGGGGGAAGAGACCGAGAGGTGACATCTACAGCTGCCACCAAGAGGGGGGGGGGAGAGAGAGAGAGAGAGAGAGAGGAGAAGTGGGGGAAATAAGAAAAGCAACTTACATGTGGGCTCACCGCTTATGTTTGCGATGTCTCAATAACACGTGGGTCCCACACTCCCACTTATGAAAACCGCTTCCTAAACCACTAAAAAGGAGCTGATTTGCACCGGTTTTTGAAGATAAGGGAGGCTTTATAACCGTTATATGGTTCAGGAATATGATTAAGCGGAAGAGATGAGGGAGGCAAATAAACGCCGGATACGCGGATCGATCGCGCGGTCGCGTCTCACATCGATGAACGACACGTACGCGTGCCTTGCCACCTTGCCGGGCCATGAGTGGCCCGATTTATTAAGCCGTACATACGCCACATTAGTTGTCCAAAAGAAAAAAAAACGCCTCTTTCAATCCAACGCCGATCGATCGAGTCGAATAATGGATCTCTCCGGCGATCGATTTGGCGGTGCGTGGACAGAATAATTGCGGGAGTACTTCTCGTTGTGGTTGAAACAGTCGAAAGCCAATCGATTGCTACCTTCAATTCGTCACGTATCATTCTGCTCCATCCCGAATTCCCGATCGATCGAATCGCCCATAAATTAACTCCCACCAACGTAGTACGTAGGCAACCACCTACTTGTCTACATGTACGTGTGTGCAATGGCCAATGGATGATAGATTAATTTCCATCGGTAGCAACGAGCATCCAAGTTTTAGTGGTAGGCGTACTCGTGGATTTGAGAGAGTTGCTGCTCCATGCATTCTAAAATATAATTAATAAGCTAGCTAGGATCGAATAGGATCTATTCTAAGGATTTGTTTAACACAGCTTCAGCTCTAGCTCCAGAGTTCAGCTAAACAGTTTTAGCTTCACCTAAATAGGGAGTGGAGTTGGATGGAGTAATATCAAAAAATGAACTAGAAATGTATAGCTGGATTTAGTCTGCTCCACAACTACACTTCAAACCCAACCCTTAAAGCTAAATTTAGAACTTAGAATTCTATCAAACAGACCATAATACAACGAATCTGGATATATATAGGGGTTTGTTCATATTCATAATATTATATGTTTATTTAATCTTAGTTGCTATATTTTGAAACGAAGAGAGTAGCTTAATTGATATGATCTGCATCAAATCATCAACAATTGTTGTGCTTGCTTTCATGTACATGAAGGACGAAGTAAGAAGTCCGTGCTTTTTTTTGTTTTGAAACGAAAAAAGGCTGTGCATTTGAAGTTTACAAAAGTTGAGATTCGTTTTGCTCACGTACGTCATTCGCGTCATGATGTTGATCAGTACGTATCGATCGAGTTTCATACACCGCAATCGAACTCGATCGATCCTTGCACATCTACGATCTGCCATGATGGGTAAGTGGCCGGGTAGCTTTTGATTCAAAGGCGACATGTGCGTACATCCCCATGAATGCAACGCATCATCGCCCACGTTCACGTATGCATAGATGGGGTGCGTGTGCATCTATTGACGTAGAAATTAAATGAGATACTCTAAAGAATTGCTAGTTTAAAGGTGACTAAGATTTCATCAAATCTCAATCAACCTACTCTCTGGCCCGCGGCCGTTG